TTGATTAAATGTACGGGGAGACTTTTTACAGCCTGAGTCTGATTAGCTACCCAAGACTAAAGATTATAGACCCGAATCTGATCACCTGCCTAAAATAAAGAAAATAAGAATTCCTAAGGGTGATTCAACATTATTCAAGTGAGAAATACTGGAACCACCCAACAAGAAAATAGCCAAATAGAAAGAACTAAAATACCACAAGCAAAACAATAATGTCGTGCTTAAAGATCAACAAGGAAAGGCGGCGTTCAATGAACGCAACCGCCATATGACCCAGCAACAAGAGCCAGTGGTAAGGAGCCCAGGCGGACAAAAAACAGGACAGGGCACAAGACAGAGCACGGACAGGTTAATCACTAAATGATAAAAAATCTGTAAAAAGGGCACAAGGGAATGGAACAGGAAACCGGGGAAGGAGGGGGGGGGGGGGCTAATCAAAGAATTAAAACTAGGGATATATGGGAAGATACTTACCGTAGACGAGAAAACAACAAGGGACACAAGCAAAAGTGTCATCAAAACAGTATGAAACAACATAGACATACATCTGAGGAACACAGAGGGGGCCGCCTTGGAACGGTCAGCAGCATTATAATGACTGCTGGGGAGTTTAAACAGGTTAGTGGTGCACCAAACCTCGCTGTTAGCCCCACAATGTTCCTATAAACGAGACAGTGTAAATAAAATGAATCCCCGCCAAGTAAAATTCTAACAGTTTTCATGGTTACAAAAGGTTAAATAAGTAAAACACCAAAATGATCATGTAGAAACATATAAAAGTAAACCCAATGACCATAACAAATGTACTCAATGTCCTAAGGGAAGACAGAGCAACAAGAAAATCACCTACAAGGTCCCGACGAAGCTAGGCAGAAGACGAACATTAAGACAATTCAGTCCCAGGCTGTAAGAACTATCCATCATAGAGTCTAAAATAAGAGTGAAATATGAATCAATGAGCCGCTTTAAAGTTCAAAAATGCGGCTGAATTGAACGTCAAGTTTTACACAAAATTGACAGTTTCTTTCCATTTTTCAAACATTTTTCGGCGTAAATCAATTAATTTTATATCATCTTAAATGAAAGAAATAATTTATGTAGAATAATGTAGGATTTGTGATATTTTCTCAGCCAATAGCGTTGTGATACCCGTAACAGTTGCCAAGGATACGCAACGACGTCATATTAAAAAAACGGGCTTTGGTGGGCAATTTTGACGTCGTGTGTACAAAATTTGGCTTAAGCTATTGGAATAAAATTAACGGAATATAAATAGGAATAGGTTCAACTTTCTACATGCCAATTTTCAAGACGCTACAATTTACAAGTTCGTAAAGTGTCACGTTCTACCTTAAGTTGTATTTTAACCATCATTTACTGTACATCGTGTTCTAAGAGCAGGTTAAACTTGAAATGATAATTATAATTGTTTTCCTGAATATACATGTACATGTAATTATCCTGTTTCATGATAAAACGAAAAAAAAGACAAGCATTAACCCGCTTCTTGATCAGGATATTCTTCCCTACAATATTTGATGTGACCTATTTACCAAATTGGTACAAGAAAAAGGTCGCAAATACCTGCTACAGCCAAGACAATCATCAATAAAATGACTTCTTTTTCCTGTCGAATGACAAACCTGTAAAAATAAATAAAATTCTAGAATTCATAATTTGGGATAATGTTACAGTTTTCTTTCTATCATTTGTAGACATATTTTTGTTTCTATCGACCTCTTCGTTTATTTAAACAATCACTTCAAAATAGTATTTTGTACCAATGAAGGCATTTTCTAATGTTCACTTTGGGTGATCACGTGACATTTAGCAATATTTCCGATATTTCCTTGGATAATTAATATGAACCATATCACTTTCCATTTTAAATAATATTTTGTACTTCTCCGATTATGCTTTATTTAGTTTTTTTTCTTTGAGGCAAAATGATTATGCGGTAATATTCAGTCACGCTATTTATTTGCATTCTATAATGATCTGCAATTAATTGAAATTTACCAAACATTACCAAACTTTTCCTATCGATTTAAGTGCATATTCAAAATGTAATTTTAATAAACACGTTTTGACAAAATATGAAAAACAAGATCAACAAGGAAAGGCGGCGTTCAATGAACGCAACCCCCATATGACCCAGCAACATGAACCAACGGCAAGGAGCCCAGGCGGACCCCAAACACAAAAAAGGACAGGGCAACGACACGCCAATCACCAAATGATAAATAATTTATAACTGATTAGGAATTCAAAGAAAACAACAACAGGCCCACAAAGGGGAAGGGGACAGGAGACCGGGGGAAGGGGGGGTCAACCAAAGAAACAAAAACCAGAGGCAATGGGGAAAGTTTTAAAGTAGTACATAAGCATGCATTAATGATGAAACAAACAATCTTGCCATATTTCAGATAAGTTAACATTGTGTCAAAAACATTCAAAGTACCATCGCGCCATATTTCAGATAATTTGAAGTTGTATCACAAACATTCAAAGTAACATCTTGCCATATTTCAGATAAGGTAATAATGTGTCAAAAACATTCAAAGTAACATCGTGCCATATTTCAGATAACATCGTGCCATATTTCAGATAAGGTAAAATTGTGTCACAAACATTCAAAGTAACATTGGGTCATATTTAAAATAACGTAAAATTGTGTCACAAACATTCAAAGTTGCATCGTGCCATATTTCAGATAAGGTAATATTGTGTCAGAAACATTCAAAATAACATCGTGCCATATTTCAGATAACTTTAAATTGTGTCACAAACTTTTAAGGCCACATCGTGGCATATTTTAGATAAGTGAACATTGTATCACAAACATTCGAAGTACTAATGCCATTGTACCATATTTCAGATAAGTTAACATTGAGTTAAAAACTTTCGAAAAAAACATTCAAAAAACATCGTGCAAAATTTCAGATAAGGTAAATATTGAGTCACAAACATTCAAAGTATCATCGTGCCATATTTCAGATAACTTGACATTGTGTCACAAACTTTCAAGGCAACATCGTGGCGTATTTCAGATAAGTTAACATTGTATCACAAACATTCGAAGTAACATTGTGCCATATTTCAGATATTAAGTTAACATTGAGTTACAAACATTTGGAATAACATGATGGCATATTTCAGATAAGATAACATTGTGTCACATAACAAGACATTAGTGTATTAAAGTGATAACAGCTAAAAACAACTTTTTCTTTTGTGTTTTTATCATTTCTTCTTTTTGGGTTATGTGTCTTTGGGGGAAAATTGGAAAGTGCAAGACTTATTTCAGCTCATCTGATTTAAATAGTAAAGATGATGGGGGAATTAAATCATAGAGTAAAAAAACAAACAAACAGAAATTACCATAATTTTTTTTATTTTCATGCTTTATCAAAAGATCGCATCCGTTACATATTTTGCATATGCTGGAAATTCAACGGCGTCTGTTGACGTTTTTGCAAGACATGTTGAAACGCTTACCTTTTACGCATAATTGTCAAACAGAAAAAAAACTAATTCAAACAATGCATTCATAATCAATATTTTCTGGAATACAATTTATCTTCCTGAAAAAGGTTATAATGCGGATGCGTTATTCTTTAAACGACATGTTATAACTGTAGAACAAAATAAATGCTCCAAACTTACAACTACTTGTTAAAATGCCGACACTGAGAGTTCATTCCTTGCAAGTTGCAACTGTACCACAAGTTAAGTTAACAAATGTTACTAGCCATCGAAATAATTAATCATGTGTGATCAGGTTGGCCACACCTGTATCTAATATATGCATTATAAACGAAATGTAAGAAGTACATTTTTTCCTTTATACGACAAAAATAGAGTAATATAATTCTTCCTCCTATAATTATTACAAGGTATATCCGGATCCGGCATCGAGTTTGAATGATTTCACGTTACTCTACCCCTATATTGCACGCAACACGATAACCGAAAAAGTCAATCTGAACGTATGACCAGTGACTTATTTAGTATTGTTTTCCTTACATAGAATTTTCGAACAAGTCAGAAGAAAAATATGGACTTAATTTTTGCGTTTTTAATTATTGCATAATTTTAGAGAAGCATTTGAATTTCATTAAAATTTCCAAACATCATTTATATTAAATGCGTCATTCAAAGCACCAGGGTCATTTTACACGGATGTATGAAATACGTTCTTGCAGTGTCGGTGTAAAAGGTCGACATGTTTTTCTTTCTAAAGAAGGTACTTATTGACATTACCATCAAATGTGTATCTAGACTTAATAACAAAGCGTAACTACCACAACTGAAGTCGGTCATGGTAGGTCCTCAGTACAAAATATACATACCAAACAATAAAAGGCGCTTTGGTTGTAATTTTAGATGTTAAGATATAACTACAATGAACCAAGTCATCAACATTACAAAAAAATCGATCTAAACGCTGAGATCTGTTTAGATTACAAACCAAACATTTTAAGTGTCCAAATTTTGAGTATGGTGAAAAATCGTTCCGAAAAGAACATGTTTAAAAAGGGATCTTATTTCGTTACAGACTTGTTAAATTGCTTATACAAGAAGATGAAAGTATATACTCTTTGGCACAATGTAAGTGGATATTTTTACCAAAACATTTTCGCATGAAAAACAAATATGCAAGTATAACGGTAAAAGGACTGCTGTGGCAAAGTATTTACCATTGGAATCAGAAAAAAATATTTGCTTAGATTAACATTCAAAATTAATATTAATCAGATATAATGTCCCAGTATATATTTTTTTCCACAGCTGTCCTTTTACCATCATACTTGCATATTTGTATATTATTTTTATATCACCATAAATTTTAAAATAAATTAAATTTATTTACATCACATTGATCATTTAGATTGTTTTCTTCATTGATTCATCAAGTGATTACTATTTATTTCTCGTTAAGCCGTGACAAATTCAATTGTAATATGGTTTTATCTTAACGCTTAGATATAATATCTTACTTGTTTTGCTCTGCAGCCTGCATTATAGACAATTGTTAACTGATCTGTGATAACTTCATCCGTGTAGCATTCCTGTTTTATCAAATAAAACAAGAATTTGTAACAGAGTTACCAACATCCCCCGCCTCGGGAAGTTTTATATAAATCATAAAATTGTGCTGTTTCAAAAGATTGAGGTATGAATCTTAGGAAATTCAGTCCAAAATTATGCAACAATAAATTAATAAAAGAAATAAATTTGTGCCAAGTATTTTCAAAATCCCTTGAACTATGAAGAAGGTATAGATCGGACACAAAATATACTCTATAACAGACTATATTTATCTTTGACCTCTAAGTGTTCCTCTGAGGTAGGGACCCATATTTTGCGCCTGACATATCTTCTTATTATCATAATTATATATGCAAAGTATTTATAAAATCCCTTGAACTTTGAAAAAGTTATGAACTGGAAACAAATATAACCTATAACAGACTATGTAAATCTTTGACCTCTAAGTATAACCTTGACCTTGGAGGTAGGGACACAGGTGTTATGCATGACATATCGTTTTATTATAGTGACTATTTATGCCAAGTCTTTTTCAAAATCCCTTGATCTATAAAGAAGTTATGAACGGTACACAATATATACCATATAATAGACTCTGTTAACCTTTGATCTCTAAGTGTGACCTTGACCTTGGAGGTAGGGGTGAAAGTGTTGTACTTGACCTATCGTCTTATTATTGTGACTATTTGTGCCAAGTTATTTTAAAATCCCTTGAACTAGGAAGTTCTAGATCGGACACAATATATACCCTATTAAAGACTATGTAAATCTTTGACCTGGACCTTGGAGGTAGGAACGCAGGTGTTGCGCATGACACATCATCTAATTATAGTGACTATTTGTGCCAAGTATTTTCAAAATGCTTTGATCTATGAAAAGGTTATGGACCGGACACAAAATATACCCTATAACACACTATGTTAATCTTTGACCTCCAAGTGTGACCTTGACCTTGGAGGTAGGTGACCAGTTGTTGCGCACGGCACATTGTCTCATTATCGTAAACAATTGTGGCAAGTATTTTAAAAATCCCTTCAAAGATAAGAAAGTTATGGATCGGACACGACATATACCCTCAAATAAACAATGTTGACCTTAAATGAGCAAGTGATAAACGACAAAGTTATGAACCGGGCACGAAAGTGTGACGGACGGACAGACGGACATTCCTACTGAGTTGACATAATGGGTTTTTTTCTTTGATCTCTAAAACCCTGTTAGCAACGTATTTGCACCCCATAATCAACTTTTTTGCCCCACAAGTACCGTCTGTACGGACTGAACATGGATGTTAACACAATAACGTCACTTGAGGTTGTACGGACGGACAGACGTACGGAGCCTATTTCTATATCCCCCTTTTTTCTTCGAAAAGGGGAGGACAATAAGCAGTTGAATATTTTAACTCTTATATCTGACAAAGTAAAGTACATGTCGACACAAAATGACATTAAAAAAAAGACAACAAGAATAAAGATCAACAAGGCAAAGGCAACGTTCACAGGACTATTAATGTTCATAAGTGCAATTAATATAATTATCGCCATTTAAAACAATTTCTAGTTGGATGACGAAAAATAACAGATGATACAGGATATAAAAAAAAATTATGGTCGACCTGTCTTCAAATTCGATTCCATTTTCTCGCAGTTTTATAAACGTAGTTAACTAAGTATCTGCAAGTACGGAAACTGTGCCACACGATCTTATCTAAATGCCGCCGCAGTACTAAAGAATGTACGACGTGTTGAATGGAAATAAATGCACGATCGCTCACGTATTTATTTCGAAAATGAACTAAGATGAAATAAAAAAAGACCCAAAACAATCGTTTTTATTTTATGGACCATACTTCCAAATCTAAATCAAAGTCGAAAAACCTTTATTGACACAAGTAAAATGATGCTACAATGCAGCAATTGAGAAGCTCCGCACGCAAAATAATGCGCTCATTACAGATTCCTTATACGCAGCTCATTTTCTATTTTGATTAGATCTAAGTACTTTTGTACATTATTCCGGATGTTTTGTAAATCATTTAAATTTGCATAATTTTACTTATTGAATGCACTTTACATGAGAGAGGGGGCAGATATTAAATTTAAGAAGCAAATATGCTTTCACTGATGCCCGGTAAGGAAAGTTATTCCAATACAAACAAAGCTTACAAGACTTGAAATGTGACATGACACGGTGAAATATTTTTTTTCTGTTTGTGTCACTGCCGTAATCAGTGAGTATAATATAAAATTATGATAAAATATATCAAAACATGTAAACGTTCTTCTTCAACTATAAGGCTACTCATCTTTTACATAATACATATATCAACACCTAATCATGTTAGGAAATGTAAAAATCGATGATTAAATAAGCCAAAGCAAAAACTTTCATCAACTCTTTTTTTCAAAATGTCCGTTCGCGGCAAATGGTATATCATGAAATAACAAGAAAAGCATTGATGCAAATCATCAAAGGGCGTCCAAGCAAGAACTGTCGCAAGTGAGGATGAACTAGTAGACATCTGATGACCAGATTTTCTTTTCAATGTTAAAATCGATTTTACCAGAATTGTATATCATAGATGAATGGGTGGACGAAATACATTTTTCATCATGTCTTTTGGAAGACTAGGTAGAGATTATATGCATGTTATTATTTTCCTTGGAACATACAAAACATTAGTCAAAATTACCAAAGTCTATTTTTGTTATTATATTTGAAACAATTATACAAACAGTATATAAAAATAGTAACAAAATGGACCAATATAGTTCTAGCATATGTTCATGTCAGATTTTAAAAAAAAGGTATCTATTAATACCGGGGATTAAAGATACAGTAGTTATCTTTCAAGTCCCAGATAAAAATTGAAAGTAGAATACCCACTTGAATGAAAAAATTGTGAAGAATTTTAAAAAAAAATCAGGATTTTTGGTGTTATAGCCGTTAAAAAATAATGTTACACTAACCATCATAAATAAATTTGCATTGGATGGTTGATATGGTGATCAATATAATGGAAGATTGTAACCTGAATTTTAGACAGGTATAAAGAAAACCACTAACATCATGTATATGTCGATGCGAATAAATGATATAAAAGCTTCTTGATATTGGTGATAAAGAGCTATTGTTAATTGATTTATTGGGAGATTAATTTACTATTTTGTTGAATTGCTTCAAAATCCTCGTTTGACCCACCAGTGTGTTTACACTCCTATCAATAAACGCATAACACCTAATGTTATAACTGCAGACGAAAGTTTCTGTTGTTAAAATGTCACAGTATTCGACAAATCAACAATTCACTCAAACCTCCATGAAACCGATTGCCTTCAAACAAAATAGAATCAATTTCTTACAGCAAAAAAATTTCGGACAATCAGGATCGATTTAAATATTTTCACGGTAAAAAATATCAAAAGTACAATCAGGGCCGTAAAAATTAAAGGAGTTATTTATTTACCGGAACGAACCTATGGAAAAGACAATTTCAAATTTTTGATAAATTTATATAGAGTGCAATTTATTGTTAAATATATTTGCATCTCATTTCCTGCAAAATTCTCCACTTCGTTATTTATTACCATAGCGCGATACGAATGACCGTTTCGTTTAATTAATTAAAACTCCTTCTATAAATACATTTTCGGACTTAATACATGATGTTAAGGTCTATTTATATCTATAAAATACATACATAACACACTGTGTACTTCAAAATAATAAATAATTTCCTGTAGAAGATACAAATGTAAGAAATAAATTACCGAATTTAAGTTTATTTTTTGTTTGTTATACTGTTTTCCGTAAAATTTGTTCCCGTTCTCATTCATTTAAATGACATGCTGCGAATCACCGAAGTGGAAACCAATATATGACTTAACATAATAGAAATCGGAAGGAATTCTTCATTCCGAATTTATTAAAGGGATTAATTGATAAAAATCGGGTCCAAGGACAAAAATAGGAGTAAACACAAATAGCTCCGCGCCTGTGGGCGTGGAGCAATAACTTATTTTTGATAATATTAAAATCGCCCAGCGGTAATGCGGTAGAGTGCTTGACTTCGCCACATCAGCGTTGTTTTTGCCGCGTGGAGGCTGTAAAAGGTCGCTCGTACATTCAATCAGGAATATTATATTTTTGATCCTTAAAGATCTTTCAGCACGACATTATTGTTGTGTTTGTCGTACTTTAAGTTCTTACATTTTGGCATGGGGTTGCGGTGATTGAACGCCGCCTTTCCTTGTTGATCTTGTTTATCATATTTTTTTCAATATTCCAGCTTGAGATATGTTGAATCACCCCTAGGATATGTTGCCTGCTTTTTAAATTTGTCTTTTGACGTCATATCTGTGATATGCAGGCTTCGTAACCACTGATCCCCTTTCAAAATTCCATTTTATTTAGTTCCATCTACTGTTTTCTCGTTAAGGACACACGCTTTCTTTTACTTGTGGACCATACACCGCTTTTCATGGAATGGCACGAAAGTTTCCATTAAAGGTTTCATGATAACCGCCGTACGGGGACGTGGACGGTAACTTGCACTTTCCATTACCGTCCATGAAGAGGCGCAATCAAACCGAGCCTGCAACATTTTCAATTTTGTCTTTTTGGCTTTCTTTGGGGATTCATATTTCTTTCTATTGTGAGCTAGCAATTGTTGGCTGAGTCTCAGGTGAAGTGCTTTTTTATCATTTTATACGCCCGAAAACAATTTGCGTAAAATAGTATAATGCTATGCACCTGGTCGCCGCCCGTCTGTCTGCAGTTTTTGTGTCTGGTCTGTTTCTTTTGAACCGGTTGAAGGTATCGTAATTATTCGGCGGAAACGTTAACTAATAAGGAAACGATGTGCAGAGCACATGTATGACCTTCCTCATGTCAAGGTCACGCCTAGTCATTTTGTATCAAATTCAAAATTTCGTGTTCGCTCAGTATCTTTTGACCGGATAGAAATAAATTTAAACTTTTTTTGGCAAAAAATATTACTTGCAATGAGGCAATATGCAGAACACAGGTTTTGGCTCCTTGAGATAAAAATTGCCCCCGGCCAAGGGTTTACTCGATTTGAATAGGCTTATATAGGAAAACACATTTAACATCCATTGTTTGAAACTGCAATGTCAAGGGCTTAGACATTCAGTATGTAGTGTTGCCTTATAATCATTTACAAAACGATATGAATCGTACTTATTGATTCAATGTTGTATAACAATTACCACCCAGGGTAAAATGCCTCCATCTTAGCGGTCATATACAATCATAAGGATAATCTGTTTTTTTCAGACAAGTTTTTTTTATTTCATACCCTAATTTTCAAAGCAAATATACGTAACATTTTGCCTGTGTCTCCCTTTGAAGCAGAAAAAGATAATAATTAAGAAATGAGCTTAAAATGATAAATTACAACTCGTATTTTGTGTTATTCTTAGTCCAATTTGAGTGCAACGCTTTTCAGTTTTGGGTCATTTTTCCCACAAGGAATAATTATTCCGTATAAAATGAGTAAGCAAACAATATGAAATTTTGCACGCAAGTTATATATCTGCTGCGAGTAATTCCCGTTCAAAAGCATTACCCGTACTTTTCGTTTTTACTTGGATTCTTTTAAAGTGAAATTAAATCACGCAAACGTTATCACGCGACAAAATCTGTCAATTCAGCAGTAGGTGCAAGTTTTCAATTTTAATCACTTTCACTTGTGTTTTGGCAAAACATTACCTTGTTGACGTTGAGGAATTTTGTTATTGCGCGAATGCGCTTGAGGTTTGTAAAGAGTTTTTTTTACAAATAATACCTATTGTGTACACATAAGTGGCCAATATAATGAAAATTGTTTTAATATCAGAATTATTATGGGTTACATTTTATGTACGGGAACTACTCATTTGCAAATAAAATAATTGGTAATTTCGGAACCCCATATCAAACCTCAAAACTGAAAGTTTTTTTCTATTTTAAGAACATGCTAGGTGTTCCATGATTTGTGTGACGAGCCAAATATTGATGTGTTCAATCAATTTCTTGGTGAGTGAGCTGTAAATGTATTGCTCTTTGCTTAAGACTGTCTCGCTAAATTGGATGGAGAATATCTCCGTTACTCATGAAACACTATATCAGCCGGAAATAAGAATTTAGTTAATCAGAGAAATTTACCTCAAGCTTGTCGCAAGTAATAGTACCGCATTCATCATCGGAGCTTGCATGGTCACAACGAAGGCATCTAATAGTTTCTTGTGTTGATACGAATGCGCCTACACCTTGAATTCAATTAATTCCAGTTCACTTTTTTTATTGAATGTAATCAACAAACACAATTATAAATGTATTTCTTTTTTAAAAGATTTTGCATGGAAATTTCAACATCCGGTGAAATAAGATACAATTTAGTCGTAATCAGTGCATTATATATTATTTGCTATCGAGTTTGATAATTTTAAGCTGCATGCCTCCAGATGAGCCAAAAAATAGAATATGAAGCAAACTGAAATAAATCTTCTAAGAGTTTTAGAAAAGTACATTTAACAAAAATACTAGTCAAGTCATTATTTACATCGGTATTTTTCGAAATTATTTTAATCTTTAAAACATTTTCAACTATTTCATGAATAAGCACCAATCTGTAGGCATGCTGCGTTATCTCAATTACCAAACTCGAACAGTACATAGATCTATAGTTAATTTGATTTAATTCTTTAACGTACAAGTATCAGTTTCGGCTTGCTTTAGTTTGTGTGTTTTTTTTGTTGATTATGAATCGTGTGTGTGGTGTTGTTGTTGTTTTTGTAAAGGTGTGTACATGGGACGTTTTTATTTCAAACTGTAAAAACTTATTTTATTAACAAAACATCAATTTGACCGAAACTCAAACCTCCCCCATCCCTGCCCTTTTCCCCATACATAACTTTTCTATGAAATACATGCAACAAATACGAGTCTCTACTGACAACTACAATCAAAGGGAAAAAATCACATAAAACACAATATTACGAAAGACCGGTAGGGCCATTTCAACTTCATGAAATCCAGATTTCATCTTCCTGAATTCACAATTTTAACTTCGTGAATTCTCGTTTTCAAAATACGGAATTCACAACTTCAACTTCATGAATTCACGATTTCAACTTCACGAACTCACGATCACGATTTCAACTTCATGAATTCACGATTTCAACTTCATGAATTCACGATTTCAACTTCACGAATTCACGATTTCAACTTCACGAACTCACGATCACGATTTCAACTTCATGAATTCACGATTTCAACTTCATGAATTCACGATTTCAACTTCACGAATTAACGATTTCAACTTCACGATTTAAACGTCATGAATTCACGATTTCAGCTTCATGAATTCAAGATTTCAACTTCACGAATTCACGATTTCAACTTCATGAATTCACGAGTTCAAATTCACGAATTCAACTTCGTGAATTCACGATTTCAACTTCATGAATTCACGATTTCAACTTCACGAATTCACGATTTCAACTTCATGAATTCACGATTTCAACTTCACGATTTCAACTTCACGAATTCAACTTCGTGAATTCACGATTTCAACTTCACGATTTAAACGTCATGAATTCACGATTTCAGCTTCATGAATTCAAGATTTCAACTTCATGAATTCACGAGTTCAAATTCACGAATTCAACTTCGTGAATTCACGATTTCAACTTCATGAATTCACGATTTCAACTTCACGAATTCACGATTTCAACTTCACGAATTCACGATTTCAACTTCATGAAGTGAATTCTTGAAGTTGAAATCGTGAATTCAAGAAGTGGAAATCGTGAATTCTTGAAGTTGAAATCGAGAATTCATGAAGTTGAAATACCCCACCGGTCTTTCGTACAATATTGGTACTTTGTTCAATATCATTTTCAATTTAAATTTGATTAAAAATTAGTTACCACCAAAAATGTTTCTATTATAAGATTGAAATGTTTAAAATCATTTTCAATGATCATGCAAAATGAAAATATATTATATAAAGTAGTTTTCAGTGTGCTTTATGCGTCCATGCATGTATATGTAACCCTAGCATACATTTGTAAAATAGTATATAAATAATAGAAAGAGCATCGAAACACGAGGCTATTTGATGTATACGAGGGGGCGTAGCCCCCGAGTATAAATCAGATTGCCGAATGTTTTGATGTTCTTTCTCTTTTGTATCATAGTCAAACATAAAAACACGTTCCCTGTTGTCACAATATGAAATATGTAACCAATGAATTAGCATCTAAATATGACATTTCTGTCGCTTTCACTTTCTCTGCCGTGTCAATAAGTAAACGCCAGCAAAAATGAGCCAATCAATTGGCATGCTCTGGAGTGCGGGTAACTAATACCTGCACTGCAGTTAACACACGGTGCATGTATATGTATACGATTTGACTCGTACATATTTTCAACAGAAAGGTCCCCAAAATATGATACAACAACAGATTTACATTTGTGTTTTTGCATTTTTTTCCGAAAAGTCAATTAAAGTTATGTTCACATTTCTGTTAAACATAGATACGTTCTTACCTAAAATGAAATAGGTCACGACTAGTAATGATGCTGATAAATCTACAAGAAAACAAGAAAGTATGAAACACAGGTAAAAGTGATATACTGTTAGTTAGAATCAGTTTGTATAATAATGTTTAAGAGGACGTTCAATTAAATTTGAAGAATGATAAAGCAAAGTTCATCAACAATTGTTTATCAGTATTTTGTTTATGAACGTTTTACATAAATATTTTATAAAAAAAACATATGAGCCGCGTCATGACAAAACCAACATAGTGAGTTTGCGACCAGCATGGATCCAGACCAGCCTGCGCATCTGCGCAGTCTGATCAGGATCCATGCTGTTCGCTATCAGTTTTCCTACTTGTAATATAGTTGGTTAGCGAACAGCATTGATCCTGATCAGAGTGCGCGGATGCGCAGGCTGGTTTGGATCCATGCTGGTCGCAAACCCATTATGTTGGTTTTGTCGTGACGCGGCTCAATTATATCTCAGGGTTGTTGACCGCATGGGACAAGGACTTAACATTCATTGCTCAGTACTAGTTGGTTCTTGGAACTGATTCGAAAGTGTGTCTGTAAAAGCTTATACATTCCTACACAATCGAACTAAGATTTCTTCTGTATAAACCATCAATGAAGGAATTGATGGAAAAGTTATAGTAAAAAAATATACTCTACCTGTTAATGTATAAAGTAATGTATTATTGAAATATATACAAAACTCAAAGTTTAGGATAACAGGCAATATACACAATAAAAAAATAGAACGTTTGCCCTAGTATGTAGTAACATCAGATCATTGTTGTCGCTCCGTTATGTAGCCATATATCGTGACTTTTATGACCTCTGCAAGGCAAACTAACCACACAAGAAACAGAAAAGAAAAAAAAACAAACACAAAAAGCACCAAAAAACAAAACAAAGACAACCAAACAAATATAATGGATCGTCCAGATTTAATTTTTCTCCAATATTTTATTATTTCAAATAAGATAATGTGTAGGTATGTAGTTTTCTCTCATTCTAGTTAGTAACACATACATTGAATGTTAAGGTAACATAATCAGTATTTTCACGGGAAGTGAAACATTCTAGTCTATATTAAGCGGGCTCTACACACTATTCGATAAAAATAATGCAATATTAAACAAATCATCACAGAAATAAAACGTAAACCTACTTTGTATTGTCGGCGCCACGCAAATCACAAATGTCACGCGATATATGCACCGTATATATGCGACCTACCTAACAAAATGTAGCTGACTGTGTGTTGAGATAGGTATGAACTAGTTTAATGATATTTTTTAAATTCAAATTTTTTTTAACTGTTACATTATAATTATGATCATATAACTTTGTCACTCTCATTTGAAGGCTATACAGGTTAATATTATGATTAATTTTCATTTTCATACGATACGTTATATATTTCAACACAATATGTAATAGAAAGACCATCGAAACACGAGGTTATCTGATTTGTACGAGGGGGCGTAGCTCCCGAGTATTAATCAGATTGGCGAGTGTTTTGATGTTCTTTCTCTTTTTGTATAATAGTTAAAAATAACACGTTCCCTGGTGTCACAATATGAAACATCAGAAAAAAGGAACCAATGAACGAACATCTGAATATGATATTTCTATCGCTTTTCCTTTCCCTTTTGTCACACTATGTAAACCCAAGACAAAATGAACCAATCAATGGGCATGCTCTGCAGTGCGGGTAACTAATACCTGCACTCCAGTTAACGCACTGTGCATGTATATGTATACGATTTATTCAACAGAAAGGTAAGGTCCCCAAACTATGATACAATTTATCATTAGTTCAATTGGATTTCATATGCTTGATTTTATATTCTGCTCCTACATTATTGAATAAACAAACATTTACAGTCTTTTAGATACAGTGCAGTCTCTTCAATGAAAATAATATTCAGTAAAAATAACTTAATAATGAATAGTTTTACCTTTTTTCATGATGACTGTCTACTTTGATAGTATCTGCAAAGTATTAATACAACAGTTTTGTCTCAGTGTACCATAATTGAAATTGACTTGGATTGAGATCTTGTTGCTTCACGCTAAATTCTTATTGTTATATTAATATATTTATGGTGTCAACCTTCCTGCCTCATATATGGACTTTATAATGCATATTTTTAACAAATCCTTATTAAGGAGATTCCATTGAAAGCCAGAGTAACACTATTTAGAAGTCGATATAGCAGAGTTGTATGGTGGCTGATTTTGTACATCGCGCGTTGCGTTGCCGATAGCGACAACGCAACCAATTTCGCTAGTGCCAGCACGACGCACAAAAGCGTATAGTTGGGGTTTCATTACAATGTGTACATATCTTGAAATTTTAAAGAACAAGTCTCTACTTTTAGATTGAATAGCAAGTTACTTTCACAATTTATCATTCTTCGAATAAGATCAGGACTTTTTACATTACCTCTATACATAAAACAAGAACCGGTTGAAACGTATGATGGTCCTCGAGAAGGTTTTGGACACAGGAAAGTATAAAAAAATGAAAAAAGTGCAAAAACTCCAAAATTAGGCAAGGCAGAGTTATGTTGTTTTGCAATGTACTTTAATTCAATGAGATCTATATATCTATTAAGTTTCGTGATGATGTCTTTTATAGTTTCAGAGTTATGTCCCGGGTAAAACTCAAAATGTAAAAATTAACAAAGGGCAATAACTCAAAAATTAGACAAAGATGTGTTTAGGTTCTTTAGCATTGCAATTCTATCCAATGAAATTTATCTACCTACAAAGTTTTTTTGTTGATATCTCTAATAGTTTTAGAGTTATGTCCCTGACAAAAGTCAAAATGAAACAATAAACAAAGGGCAATAACTTGATTGTTCGGTAACATCATTATCTTAGTACAAAAGAATAATTTAAATTGTGTTTTAAATATACGGCAACAACATAATGAAAAGCTAGTAATCAAGAAAAGGTGCTTAGAGAGAGAGAAAAAAATAATAAAAAATAAAATTTATTCGTTTGCAAGACAAACAGAAAGTTTTGAATGCATTTAATAAATATAGATAAATTCTAAATTTTCATTTATTCTGTTCATTTAATCTTATATCTAAAACTTAACCGCTTACCACTGTCAAAAGAAGTCCTGGTGCAATTAGCAGACAGGAATGAAATCTCCGTAAGATAAGACATGTGTAAGGTTAAAGTCATTTTGTACTTCGAACACGATATTAAACTGCTGACAAGCGAATAATCACGTTGCACACATACAAACACATTAAATGTGTCAGTTGAACGAGTACATCCTGTTATTACTTTCCAATGCAATTTATATCTTAATATTAAATGTTGTTTTTTAATGAACGTCAATTTTGAAGGTAATTGGTAGCTGATGATTCGTTATTCCCAACTATTTAACAGCTGGTAGCTGGTTGTTGGTAATTCAATACACTTTTACCAGATAAAATGATCAAACACATCAAGAAGTTTTAACACAGAATAAAAGAGGGGGCCAAGTTGGTTATTAGCGCAAATCTGCAGCTGAGTCCCTTGGTCGACGTCAGGAGACAGGGTGTTAAGTATTGTAAAACAGATCTATATATCTGTTATATTTACTCCGGAAAAGTACTTTCTGTTATAAGGGTAAACCATGCCAAGTTCGAATTAAATTCTGGTAGCTAGTTGGGGATTCACGCTAGTCCCCTGGTCGACTTAAGGAGACGGGTTGATACCATTTGGTAGAATTCATTTATCTTGTCATATATCGGTTACTTTTATTCTGAAAAAATATTTTCTGTTTTTAGAAAACATATAATGTTCCAATAACCAACTACCTTCTGTTGGTAGTTGGAGATTAACATGAATAATCAACCGAGTCCCCTGGTCGACTTATGAAGGGGGTGTAACCATATCTTGTTATACAACTGTAGAATTTTTTTCAAAAAAAATACTTTTCTAGTTCATATATGCAATATCCGAACAATCAACTACCTTTTATTATGTAGTTGGGTATTCACGCGAATAGTGGACATAGGGAGACAGGGTGTTTAAATATTGAAGAACACATCTATCTTGCAACATATATCCGTTATATTTATCCCGAAAAAGTACTTTCTGTTTACAGGGTAAACAAGCTAAGTTTCAATTACCAACTACCTTCTTTTGTGTAATTTTTGGGATTTGCACGCGAGAATAACCAACTAGGTTATTACATTGTACCCTCCTTTATTCTGTGTATGAGATGTTCGAACGTTTCATGCTTGTAATAGTGGATTGAATTACCAACTACTAGCTGTTAAATAGTTGGGTATAACGAAAAACCAACTACCAGCTAGTAGGTAGCTGGTTATTCAAATATACAACTACCTACCAAATTGCCGTTATTTATTTCTCTTTCATCTAACATCTGATAAGATATACAATAATACAAATAGGTTTACGCAGTTTTTTAGCAATATCTAAATTAATAACATTAATATAAACAAAAATCCCTCATATAATTTCTAAAATTATTTAACTATTTATCAGTAAACTCAATGTTTTTGTTCCGTTCGAGAACCATAGTTTCTGCCAGCATTTCTTCATTTTCCTCACTCGTCATTTCTACGTGAATATCATCATTGACCTCTATATCCTCCAACATGTTTTTACACATGTGATGTGTTACAGCTGCACACATTGTGTGGCTTACAACACTACTGGTAGTCCTGACACGATCTCTGAGAACAAAAAAAAGCAAAACCGTAGAAACAAAAGTCGTTCGTTCACCAAGAATCTCGTACAACATTTACATGCTTATAAAATGTCAAATTGCTACATTTATCACCATTTAATTAACTAATATCTTAAAAGAAAGGTTAATCTGATAAATGATGAATTGAAATATTCCTCGGTTGTATTTAGGCATTACATACAGTTTTATATCTAATATCAAGTGTAACCTGAAAGTAAAGTAATAAAATTGTGATTCTTTAAAACCAGTGGCAGATTAACAATGATGTGTATATATAAAAAACAACAAAAAATCCCCAAAAAACAACAAGCAAATTGTTGAATTTATATCCACCGCCGAGTGCTGGTTCTTACCAACACAACGACTGAAGACATAAGGCTTTATTGATATATTTATTAAAACCAGTCTTAAATGATTGACATAGGTATGCTGAAATAGGTGAAATAGTGTCAGTTGTTCCGAAAATTCATGACTGACGTAAATATGCTGAAATCCACTCAGTTGTTGCAAATAATGCATAACAAATGTAAATCTTTGTATATGATGAAAATTCAGGGTCATAACAGGGACCATAACTCCGTGTTAAATAATATTATTGGGACATGACAATGAGATGCAAATTTCCTTTTCGTATTATTGGTCCCCACAGTCTAAATCAATCACATCTTAATATTGATGGTTCCAATAAAGTTTCTATAAAAAATTCAACCAGTAGTTGCAGAGAAGTAGTTCGGAAACGATAATTGCTCTATTTCATACATCATAACTATTAAAGGGCCATAACTCTGTATTGAAAGGTCTGATCCAAACATGGCAACGATAAGCACATTTCCTCTTGAGATGGTTCCTATAAAGTTTCGTTGAATTGCAACCAGTAGTTGCTGAGAAATAGCACGTAATCCATTATTGATCTATATGCATACTGCATAGCTAATCAAGGATCATAGCTCTGTGTTGACGGGACTAACCCAAAGAAGACGATTTGCGCATCTTTTTCATTGGATTTTCCCAGAAAGTTCGTTGAATTTCAGCCAGTTTTTGCAGAGAAATAGCGAGAAAAGGATTATTGTTTTATATGCGTTTTGCAAAACAAATTAAGGGCTAAAGCTCAGTGATAAAGGGTCTGACCCAAACAATGCCACGATTTGCGCATCTCCTCCTAGTATTGATGGTTACCATAAAATTCCGCTGAAGTCCAGCCAGTAGTTGTAGGGAAGCAGTTCGGAAACGATTATTGCTCTATATGCATACTGTATAACAAAAAATGGCCAAAACACCGCGTTGAAGGGTCAGACTCGAGCAAGGCGACGATATGGGCATCTCCTATAGGTATTAATGGTTCTGATAAAGTCAGTTGAATTCCAGCAAGTAGTTGCAGAGAAATAGCGGGGATACAATTATTTCTCTATATGCATACAGTATAACAGGGCCATAACTCTGTGTTAAAAGATCTGACCCAAACATGGCAACGATATACGCATCTCCTTTTGGCATTGATAATTCCCATAAGGTTCATTAAATTCAAGCCAGTAGTTGCAGAGAAATAGCTCGAAAACGATTTCGAATGGACAGACGGACAACGCCGAAACAATACACCCCTCGAGAGTCCATCGGCGGTGGATAATAAAACTTCTATATAAGAGGCTCATCAATATGTTTCAAACTATGCTTCATGATTTTCACGTCACTCCTGTATGTATGTATGTGGCATAGATATGAGCGTTTTTTTCACGTCACTCGTTCATGTCCCTGATTTAGAAATTTGTATGACACTCGACCATGTTTTTAAAATGAATGTGGACCTTTGGTTTGTTCATGACACTTATATAAGACGTTTGGCTTAAACCTCTGGTTCAAGTATTTGATGAAAATACAAATTAATTATGTGCTTTAAACCTCATATCTAGCATTCATATCTTTACCATAAGTATGAATGTTTGGTTAAAGCCTGTTGTTCATGCCCTAGATATAAATATACACTTTCGGTTTAAGCCTCTCATTTATGTCTATTATCTAAATATGAACTTTTTAAGTATCTCGATTCTGACTTTTATTTTAAGGGGCTTTTGTATAAAAATGAACTTTTAACGTCCATTGTTTATGTCTATATTATAGAAATGAACATTTAACACTAATTTTTATACGAGCGACAGTTGTAAAAAAATACAAAATAAAGATCAACAAGGCAAATGCACCGTTAACAGAACGCGGCCCCGACACATTCAAGCAGGGCACCCAGAAGGCACCAAAGCCACACTTATCTCTGATATAGGTTTGAACTCTTTAAAATATTCGTTTATATCGTTGATGCAATTATGAGTTGTTCTCTAAAGGTTCTTGTTCATATCTTTGATACAAATATGAATTATTGATTTGAGCCTGTCAGTAATTAATGCCTTTGGTATAAGTACCTCTATCATCTCTTTGATGAAAATGTATAGTACTTAAGTTACAAGCCACTCTTTCATGTTTGTTTTCATGTTTGTTATATATATATATATATTAACTTTTGTATTTGGTTCCTCTCCCTGGTATCAAAATGAACTTTTGTTTCAAGAATCTCGTCCATGCATTTGGCAAAATATGATATTTTCTTTGAAGCATCTTGCTCATAAACATATAATATTAGGTATGCCATTTCTTTTTAATCTTACATATTAAGACATATAATCATTTTTCTGTTCTAATCAAACAAATACATTGTATTTTTATAACATCAGGCAGTACTGGAAAATTTCACCGTACAAAAAAGCGAGACTGAAAGGAGTATTATAGAAAATATACAAAAAGTGTATTCATGTAAAACATTGATTATAATAATTATAACTTACAGCAAAAACTCGACGGCAAGAAGAAGGGCAATTGGTTCAATAGGAAAACTAAGAGATGTCAGAATCATCACGATAATTACAATTGATGCACTTGGTACTGACGGAACCGCCAACACTGACATTGTTGTTAGAAAGCTGAAATTTAAGAAAACAGAAAACATCTTTTCTTATAAATACATATCGTTTCGATGTATAGGCTGATAAACACAGAATAGTTAAACGTGTTAACGTTTTGAATCAAATGCATTGAGTTGAATCATTGACTTGCAAAAAGGACCCCGATGCTTTAAATTTGAACCTGATGAAAAAAAAACTTTCAAATATTAGTATGAATAATATCCAAAATGCTCTCATTGTTTCTGAAAACGAACAAGGTAATTTGTTCAATAAAGAAAGAAATAGAAATGCCACTGCATTAAACAATAGCAAAATATATGCAACAGATGTAAATGTGTTTAAGCTTTTATTTCTTTACAATTAAATTTTGCGATTATGCAGTAGTATTTAGTTAATACGGGGACAAATGAATATTTCAGTATGTCATAAATTGAGATGTATTTATTTGCTGGATCAATTATTACTATTAACATGTAAGAAAAACCCATGACTCACCTGCTAGGTCAGACAATTTTTGACCCCAGATTTATATTTTGATAAATTTTGGTAGAAGTCCACTAGACAGTGTTTTGTGCCAATATCTTAGCTATAGCCCAGTTAGCCAGTAAGTAGTGTGTGTGTGTGTGGAGGAAGATTTTGTTTTACTTTTGTTTTACTATATATATATATATATATATATATATATATATATATATATAAACACACGACGTCCTAGTTAGGAACAACTTTCGGCCTAAGGGCTATAATTAGAAAAAAATCATTGAAGATTGAAAGGCAGTGTTTCATGCCAAATATCTAATATATATGGCTTGTAGTTTTGGAGCAGAATATCCTTTTTTATTTGGGAAAAACAATAGTAGATGTCCGCTTGGCAATGATTCATAGCAAACATCTTATGTCATATCATTTTCGTTTTAAAAGAGATTTTTTTTTTAAATTGACTGTATGTGTATAGTGAAAACCTATAACCAAAGACTGGGGCTTATTTTGACACATGGGCCAACAGTCTTTGTAGAGGTCCACAACACATATTTCATGCCAAATAGCTAAGCTCTAGCCCGTTTAGTTTAGGGTAGAAAACTTTTAATTTTTGCTTTAGGTTTATAGTGAAAACCTTCCTGTTATTCTTTTGGTTGCCCTGACAACCGGATTTCGGCATGGAATCAAATTCTTTAGAAACCACTCAACCAAGGAAAAATCCTGGTAATTTTGGTTGAAATCGAACCAGTAGCTTTCAAGACGAAGATGTGTTAAGTTTTAAGATGCTATGTGGCATAGAATAGAGAATAAAAGAATCCCCAAAGAACGTACAAAACGACAGAATTTAAAATGTTGCAGGCTCTGTTTAATTGAGCCTATTCATGGACGGTACTGAACAGTGCAAAAAAATAAATAAAGATCAACAAGGTAAAGGCAACGTTCACATGACACAGCCCCCCGACACACCCAAGCAGGGCACCCAGAAGGCAAGTTGCCCTTCACGCCCCCTAGCACCCGCTTAAGCAGTATATCAACATTTAGCATGAAATGGTAAAGATGCAAAACATTTACCAAACAGTTAAGACGGTGACAGTTGTGGTCGGTATTCCTGAAATATTTGACAAAAATAAACACGAGCATGCAATAAACACAGCACTTCCATTTGAACTCAATGCGACGTTAAAGGGAATGGTAAATCTTGTTATTCTCTTATCAAGTTCTAACTTGACTTCACAGCTTGTCAACATTTCTGGTATGGCAACAGGTCTGCAAAAAAAACAAAACAATTTAATATCTTACTAGTGTGATACTGATATGTGTCATGTCGCTTCGCTGCCCTTTACAGGATAAAGTTTTTATCTTTACATTATATTTTACATATTAATTAGATTCCGTGCTAAATGATATCTTTAAAATGATGATGATGATGATAATAACACTTATTACAATCTTTATCTATGATCGACATCGGTACAGTTGTAATTACTCATAAATTGATTGCACTTTTAAATATAGTACTATGCTAACAATTTACGTGGTTTTAATATATAACATCGAAATATGATACTTACACAAAAGTTAATAATAAAGGTTAATATATTTGATCAATTATAGCAACAGTATGATGCACGTTTTTCATGACTTTATCATGCTAGAAACAGGTCACTACCCGAAAGAACTATAACAACATTAAGAACAAAAGTCCCTTAATGTTTGTAAAATAAAGTTGGTTTATTTAAATGAGAATACATGTATTTTTGCCTTAAATCTATCAATTTGTTTAATCAAGGGATGAGAATTGACAAGTTGTACTTACGTGCTTGCAGCAGCAAAAGATATAAACCATGCTCTTGATATTGCCGACATATGCCTAAAGGGATTTCGTCGGGTTAATGCAAATAAAATCAAAGGCATAACAATGACCTGTTGAACAAAACAGCCAACAAGAATCGCAGAAATAAACAGTCCAAGGTCACGAAACACACTTCCAACATCATCAAGTTCAGCTACAGGCACTAGAATTAGACTGAGGACCCCTATTGGTGTTGTCCTGTAAAAATTAATAATCTTTCCTTATATTAAAATCATTTCCTTTGTGGAGCTTCACACGTTGATATCAAGCTTCAAAGCATCAATTCATCTTAAATGTATAATTCCAGTTAATATTTACCATAGTAACCATCGGATAATGATAATAACTACTCGTGTTAATGCCTCTAAAACATCTATCAGTGGTCTTCCCTGCTTACCAAGCGCAGATGTTGCCATTCCGAGTAAAGTACATGCAAAAATTAAACCTGAAAAACACTTTGCCTTTATAAATTATTGTCTTTTAATATACAACGCAAACTTTCAAGTAACATTATTTTGAAATTTAAAAATGAAAACCGAAAATGTTTCAGGCTCAGTTTGATTGAGCCTGTTCATTGGCCATCCAGAATCCAACCTTTATAAACGACAAAAGTTTCAATATAAAATTTCAAATGTGACATATTCGTGACTTTAATTGAAAACGGCGTATGGCTAAAAAATAAGCTAATGCGAGTGCCTTGAACGAAAAAGAGTTGGCAAATCTAAATAAAATGGGTTTTGAAAGAAGGACACAGAAGTCGTTTAAAACAACAGGCAATATATTCTTAGGGTGATTATACAGAGTTCCCCACATCTGTCGTGTTAAACGATCTTCAGCACCTGAAATATAACTACGGACTCTACACGCCATGGCTAAAGATGATGTAGTTTGGATTATTATAGAAAATCGAAATTGAATCCCTAAAAACGCCTTATATAGCAAAAACAGAAATATTACATAATCGGTGTGATTGAAAATATTCATGGAAATTGTAAGAGCAAGCTCCTTGGACCAGATTAACCAGAATTTAACATTTATACATGAAATGGCAGGAAATTGAAATTATAACTATCTACAGATGTTTTTTACAATGTGGGATCAAAACGTTTCTACCTTTATAAGAAATTAATGCTAACAATAACACCCATTTTATATTTTTTCAAAGAAAACCACACAATATACAAATTCAATACACCACATACTAAAATCAACGAAGTAGAATTACTTTTACAGAACGCAGATTCCGATTTAACCCGGACACACAAGAGGGCAGCAGTGCGGAGAAAGGTGGGGACGGTCGTTGCATTAAAGGCCCATTTTGCTCAAGAAATGATTTTACTTTTAAAAGCTTTTATTTTTGTTGTCCTGTTATAGTTTCCAAAAAGTTACTCATTGGCCACTTACCCAAACCACCATTTGCTTCTGTTGCTTCGTAGAAAATAGTTTTAGTGATTAAGTATTTTGTATGGAAGTCAAACTTCTACATTGTTTACATTTTGCTACTTTAATTTAATGACATATATTTTAACATTTAATGCTACTTTTGTCAGGTGATAAGCATCTAATTTTCTCTTAAATCATTATTCAAACATTATAAAAAGCACTAATGTGTGCCTTTTCTACAAAAGTAAAATATCATTCGTTTCTTAGGACTAATGTGACTTTAACTGTTACATAAATGAATCAATTTAATCAGTAATATCACGGTAAATGCAAAACAGCACATCCAAAAGTGCTTATAGGGAAAGAAAGGGACAATGGTTGATTGTTACTCTAGTTGTCTGGACTGTGAGGTTTTCTATTCATGATGTGTCAATTAACAAGCATTCAAGATTAACCTCTATAAACAAAGCTCTGAAATTGGGTTGATATTCCTGTTCTTCTTTCGCCAAAATTACTTTAATTTAAATTATTATATACCTAATCATGATGATATTGATAATAAAGCAAAAATAAACGGATAAGGATAAACAGTTTTTGACTAAAAAAAATTGCCTTTTTAAATCCCGGCCAATTTTGTTTGCATACCGAGTAAATTTGGTCCACTGGTGCTTCCAAGTGTCTTTCCTACGATGACAAGAGATGATTTCCCCGACGTTGTGTTAACTATGTCTTTGTATTTGTATTCTGTCAGCGTTTGTTGAAAAGTTGCTTCGAATAGGTTATCAGGGATTATGTTTCTTTAAAAGAAATAAACTTTATACTTTATTCAACATTTAATATAAAGATTATTATAAGCATTACTTATTTGTGACCTTCTACATTTTAAATATTTATTCTAAGATGAAAAGTTCGGCGTAGCTTACCAAGAAAATGGTATATTTATACGTCAATATCAAGTTATTCCGATTTATTGTTATAGATAAAAGAGATTTGATTCAAAACAAGGAAAAGGGAGTAATTCGTCTTTTTATTTTTTTTTGATGTTAGACTACGTTCATCGCATCTGTAAATTAATTTCACTAGTGACACATGGTACAATCATTAAAATATATAACACCTAAACATGTCAGCAAATATATCTTGCGTCTCTAAAGGCTTCGTTACCAAAGCAGATTGAACTTTGTCTCTTCCACTTTCTACACCTAAAATACAAAACGAATATAATAATCCAATTTTCAATCCTAAATTAGCACTAAGATAGTTCTAATATTATTTCTTTTACGTTTAAACTAGAAAACCCAGTCAATGGACAATTCTATCTACAGTCGAAACTTCCGACTAATAACGAATCATGCAATAATAAGAAAATAAACGCGCTCAGGTTATATATGATAAAAGGGTAGATAAAACATGACTTTATAATAAGGTGTTACACGACAGAAACTTATTTAACAGACATTTTGTTTGGAAAAAAATCTGACAACAATGAAACAAACGAAGGATAAAACTATGTCCAAACAGATTTGATGAAGGTTAAATGAAGGTTTAAACTTTAACTTTATCCGAACAGATTAAATGGAGGTTTAAACTTTAACTATATCCGAACAGATTCGATGAAGGTTAAATAAAGGTTTAAATTTTAACTTTATCCGAACAGATTGGATAAAGGTTAAATAAAGGGTTAATCTTTAACTATATTCGAACAGACTGGATGAAGGTTTAATGAAAGTTTAAACTTTAACTATATCCGAACAGATTGGATGAAGGTTTGATAAAGAATTAAACTTTGATTTAATGACGGTTGTAACTTTAACTATATCCGAACAGATTCAATGAAGGTTTAATGAAGGTTTAAACTTTATCTATATCCGAACAGATTTGGTGAAGGTTTAATGAAGGTTTAAACTTTAACTATCTCAGAACAAATTCGAAGAAGGTTTTATGAAGGTTTAAACTTTATCTATGTCCGAACAGATTTGATAAGTTTGATATCTTTACTTATTTTTGATTAACTAGAATAAAATTTCTTAGATATGCTTCTTTGTCAATTGCAAAACAATAAATAGATATGGACATTACAGAGTTGCTTTCTACGACATGTTTGGTATAAAAAGGTATGTTATTTGAATACTTACCCGGTCGAAAAACGAAGAACGATACAACACCAAGACCTGTGCCCAGAGCATTTGTTACAAATATAAAAACAAATGAAACCATTCCAATTTTTCCGTTGGCTTTTGGGTGAAGTGACGCAGTTCCTAAAATTAAATAAAACTTATTTAAGCGTTTACGGAAAAAAAAACTATATACATTACATTTTCCACGCTAGATATATAAAATGGTATTGTCTTTCTTTCATCTTGACAAAACTATTCATCATTTTAAAATCAATCTGGAAACATTTCATAATTTTAACCTCCGACGTTTCGAGGGGATAAAGAAAATACGCAAAACATGATGATGACGTTATATTCTAACACTCACGTGATTTTGTCACTATAGACAAAGAAGGAAAAAAACTGGTGTTAAACTGCCAATAAACACCGGTTAGGGACTACTTGTATATGCGCTGTTATGTTTTCACCCTCGATTGTATAGTTTACAAAGCATTTTAAAGCAACAATAAAAAGCATTTTTATTTATATTTTCAGTTCGTATAATGTTTTCTTTTCATACAATACCGAAAAATTATATCTCACATACACTAACGCCACGTAAAGATCCATATCAGTTAATAAATATTTTGACAAAACGGCGCCAATCCGTAAGCAGCGTAATTACGTCATCCTAAGTAAACAACTCATTCATAAACAAGCTGACGTTATTTCATAATACAAGCATGACAAATGGGGCGCTGATGTAAACACAATACGACGTAAGTTTATATTGTTGAAAACTTGATAAAATAACGTTTTTTTTTTCTTATTATTTCTTTTGTTTAATAATTTCTATATCTTCGCCACAGTAGGGTGCGAAAATCGAACAGCGCTATACGAAAATCGGCACCGGAAGTTATTTCCGCTTGAAAAATAACATTAGTGATTTTCCTTCTTTTAACGTGTTAGAATCGAAATAACATCGGCCTGAGAGGTGTATATCGGCTATTTAACACCGGTTTTGTCGTTTTGATGCGACAAAATTAACCACTCAGGCCTACGGCCTTCGTGGTCAATTCCTACGCATCAAAACTCCAAACCGGTGTTAAATAGCCGATATACACCTCTCAGGCCGATGTTATTTCTTAAATAAACATTATTACGGCATCATCATGTTTTGCGTATTTTTATTGTTGACGTTTACGACGTCATTTCCTGTATACAAAACATAGTGTAAAACAAGAAGATAAAAATGTGATTCATTAAAATAAACAAAAACTCATTGAAAAAGAGGTATTCATCATTTGTAGCAAACAATTCAATATATAAACTAAAAGAATAGCTAACAAAACAGACCACTGTGAAACGGTATGATACCCTGGCTAATCTGGTCTTTACTATTGGTACGGGTGGAATCGGATGCCGCCAGCTAGCACAGAGATTTACAGCCATTCTGTCCATGTAAATTTTGTCTAACATTTTGGAGTGGATATTTTTTTGAGGATTGCAATCAATATTTTCAATATTGGGCAAAATATGTAAAATGTTTTTAAGATTCCCTTTCATCAATTGTTATCAATTTATAGGACTTAAATGTTAAGTGTTAAGGTTTTTAGGGTGAAGTGTCATGCAACACAATTTAATAGGAGATTGAGCAGAACATGTTCATACCTGTAATTACACTGGAGACTATCAGAGGAACTATCATCATTTTTAAAATACGTAGGTACAGCTCACCAGGTAAACCTTTAAAAGATTAAGTGTCATATAATCAAAGAGAATGTGTTGCTTATGAGCCTCAGTTTTATTTTAATTAATGTATTAACCAAACAACACCGATAATAATATAAACTGCTATCTGAAAAAAGAAGAGAAACAATCCTATAAGAAGAACATATTTAATTTGCAATTTAAATTCACATGTATGTAGTTCTTAAAAGTCTGAACTTGATTTTACGAACAATAATTGGTATATGTATTTGTTTCAGTAATATATACTTATATATTATATGTACTTTATTTGTAATGTTTTTACAGTACGACTCAGCAGTTATTTTTTCACCAGTTATTTTAACCATTCGTTTCAAATACTATATCTTTGTTTTGTACATGTATAACAGAATTGAGAAAGAAGGGCATTATCTTTGAATAGAAACCATCAGGAGCAAGGTAAAGCATACAATAGAATATAACTGATTAGAATAGTATGGTTAATTAAAAAAGAAAGTGGGTATAGATACAAAAATCTCGTTTAATTGCTATTTATGATTTAGCCATTTAATTAATCATTTGATACAATTCTGGAATTTTAAAACTTGTATCAAGCATGAACAATACGCAGGAAATCAAGAATAGTAGATACATTTAGATATTGTTGGGGTTACATTCCGAGAATGTTATTCTTTCTTGGTGTTTGATATTATCAATTTTTCTACTTGCCAAGCCATAGTAATGCGGAACTCGATGGAGAGCTTGATCTGACAGCAAACCCGATACCTATTCCACATATCACGCCTAACAATGTTAGAAGTAGCAGAAGGTTCTTCTTAATCGCTAACATCAAACAATCTATTTTTGCCATACTTGTCCTGAAAAAAAATCAATGACCGTGTATTTTAACTATTAATGCTATTAATGAGCATTTCACAAAACAATCATCACCACTAAGTGTATATTAAAATGACTAGAATTAGACAAAAAATAAAGAAAAACTATTTCCCAAACTGTTATATTATCGCTTAATAAAATCACTGTTTGGAGTTCGGATTCGAGGAATTAAATCATAAGGGCGTAGCCCGAGTGATATAACGATGCGCATCCGAACGACAAACAGTGATTTTATCAAACGATAAAATCACCGATTTGGATATATTATTTCAATTCTAACACGACATTAACAAATAAATGCTGTCGTACCTAATGCCGGCTCGCCACGGCGAGCCGGTATTACGGTAGGATTTTACTGAGAAACAACCTAAAACTCCGAAGCTATCCAAAAATTTAATCGAAGCTTGGCTTCCAGCTTTCTACAAAATTTATCTATCAGGGCTAGGATCCAAAATTATTTAGCCAATCAAATTTAATCTTACATAGCGTCAAAAAACCTTCAATTTTCACGCCATTTTTAAAAATCAGCAAGTATTGTTTTGAGCGCAAAGATATAATGATGATTAAAATGTTTGTCTTTATGAATTCTTTTCAATAAATCATATTTACACTGACTTCTGATTTAGCGATTTCACCTGTTGTCTCTGTAGTAAGTTTTCGTTTGGTTAATTAACATAAGTGTACATCTGGTTCTGTGCATTTTTTATTTTTCCTTTTTTCCGGTCATTTTATCCTTTCCGGTATTTAGTGTATGTATTTACTGGCCGGGATCCGGGACGCCCGGGATCCGGGATCGTATAAGATATGGAGGAAAAACTAATTAATTTAACTTAGAATATAGATATATTTAGAGCTATTTATTAACAAACTTAAAATGCGGAAATCACAATACTTATAATTATATGCCTAATTAATTGGAAAAATCAAAGACTATTTTCTTGAATTGGTCAAATCCCGGGATCCCTATATGTTTTAAAACGATCCCAGCTTTTCTGAAAACTGTATACTTGAACTGGTCAATCCGTGAGATCTATTTACATTTTAATACGATCCCGGCTTTTCTGAAAACTATATTCTTGAAGGAAAAGAGTCAACTCGGCCCTATACAAACTCGGCACGGGTCAGCTCGGCACGGGTCAACTCGGCCTACTTTACAAAAATATATATAATGTATTAACTTTGCTTTGCATGTTGTTAAGGTAAATGAATGATTTATAATATTGTACTTCTGCCGAAATAAAATATATTTAGAAAAAAAAATGTTATTTATTTGTCTTGCAGATAAAATTAATATAGATCTAATAAAAATGTGTTTCCTTAGATGCATTTTGTAAGTAACATTATTATCGCTAGTTTGGGGCGATTAAATGTCCTATTTTAAAATTTATTACATCAATTAAAAAGCTGGTAATCTAAGCTTTCTCTCGGTATATATTCTTTGACACTGAAGGTATTTAAATTTACGGTTAAACCTACCACGAGTCAGAAATACAGTGAGATACGCAATCAGTTATCTTTACTCGCAATTCTACTGATAATTCCCGGGATCCCTATATGTTTTAATAGGATCCCGGCATATCTGAAAAACATCTTCTTAGACTGGTCAATTTCTGGGATCCCTATATTTTTTAATAGGATCCCAGCTTTTCTGGCTGAATTGATTGACAACTTGTGTTTACTTTAGGACTTGTGCCTCTCATTCCAATACTAAATAACATAAATGTATTACAACTTAATTTTGTGTAAAGAGACATCTTTATGAAATCTACCTATCTAACATTTTGTGGTCAAGGTCAATAGACCATATAGTAAATGTGCATAGACATAGGTTCTTCATTCAATCTGTTTACATGCACCTTCATATATACTCATACTCATCTTGGTTAAACTGAGAGAACTTTATATGTCACTTTCAGTCAATGACTTTAAGATTTTGAATTTACTGGCCAGAATTCCAGTTTTGAATTTATTCTACTATATAATTAACAAAATTTTCTTACATTTACACTGGCCTGAACTTATATACACTGGCCATCGGGCACCGGGCCAGTGTTGACTTCACTTTTATTTTGATGTTCGCTGAAGTCTCTTCAGCTAACAGAACTGTCATTTTTACATTTAAACACACCCCTTGAAAAAAATTACGAAGCGAGTCGCTACTAGCTTTTTTAAAAGCTAACCTTGTATTAAGCTAAATTGCGCCTGATTTGTTAATTTTCAGCGCGTCGCATTTTTTTGCGGTTACGTCACATGTCTAATGGTTACTCCACACGTCTAGATATGGAATGTCAACAGTGATTTTATAGCGTCATAACACACACACTTTCGGTTTTTCTTTGTTAAATAGGGAACATTGCTGGTCGTGTTAGAATATCTCATTAATTACATTTTAATTTTACCAAGCATGTAATTGTTTCTGAAAGCATGCATTCGAATCAATTTATGTCATACTTTTAGTTGATAATTTGAAGCTAGATGTAGAAAAATATACATGCATAAATAGTAAGAACGTAGAACGCACTATTTCCACTTAAAGTGAGGTTATTTTATGGAAACATTTGCATACATATATAAACTTAATGAACATACGTCCGTCATTTGTTGTTTTAATCTCAATCAATATTTAATATCAATCTTTAATTGTTTCAATAAAATAACCTCACTTTAATTGGAAATAGTGCGTATATATACGTATTGTGAGAAACGTCATTTCAACATATACCATACTGAATGGTAATCTCAAAATGCTCATTCTTTTTAATTTCAAATGAATATGATAGTTTAAAAAAACTCGTATGTATTCACATGCGGTTAGCTATTTTTAAATGAACTGGTTGTCAAATTTTTGCAAATACATTTTTTTCTTGTTGAACCTCTCAATTCAAATTGTATACCTTCAAAGACAACTTAGTTATTTTTTATCATTATAATTAATTGAATTACATAGCATCAATGGTGTGTTACTTTCGCATTTGTTTTATTGAATTGTCCGAGCAATATTAAAAAAAAAAAAAAAACAAGTAGAGGATTTACAAAAAAAAAAGTGAAAATGTTTGAAAGGTTCATTATTTATTAAATATTTATTTAAACACATTATGCATACTACTTATATCGAGTTTATTGGTGTGTCAATGAAGAAAATGACATTAGTGTATTTCTTTGCTTGCTTTTTTAACTATAACAACACAGACATATATAAGATAAGCGTACTACTTGAATGCGTAATGTTACACAACTTTCGTTTGCTTTTAAGGCAAGATCGTGCAATTTAACGATAAATTAACGAAGTGAGGACAAATCAATAAACTATCTATGGTACATTTACCATAACTCAATACACATAAAATGTCTCACATCAAAGTCTATATCAATTTTATAGTTATAACTCCATATTGAAAAAATACTTCATTCAAGGCATGTTTTATGACTGATAATTTATACGCAAATCTTATCTTACATGTTATACTTTAAATGGCCATCACATTATTTTGAAATATATATCTAATTCAATACACTCGACAGCGAAATAAATGAGCAAATTTGACTTTTACATGGTTCGTTGCAACAATGGTACTTAAAGAAAAAAATTGCAAAATGGTTGAAGAAGAGATAGCTTATAACATTTTCATTAAGAGTGGGTTACACGCCTTAAGAGTGATGGTTAGAATCTTGGCAAATATTCTAAGAGGACCCCAAACAAAAACAGGACACGGCGCGAGGCAGAGCAGGACAGGCTTATAACTAAAATGATGCATAAAATGAAATTATAGTAACCGACAAGGAGATCAAAGAAAATAAATAAATGGTTGATTAATTAGCCAACAAAGGAAAGGGCACAGGGGAAAGGGATAGGAGATTCGGGGAATGGGGTGGGGGCAAAATTATTATAAAAAAAAACATGGTGTAAAAGAGAAGATTTTTACCATTATTTTTGCAAGTACTAAAATGTATTTTATATATATTTATATAATTGGTATTCAAAATCAAATAAATTCCGATTTAATATGTTTCTGATTTTTTTTATAGTCTGTGTTTAAATATCCATTTTATGGCTGTTATATTCACCTGGTTATCAAAGTTGCTGGACGAAAATCGTCCATATATGATGAAAAAAAATGCTCGTGTTGTATTCGTTAGAAAATTATGTTTGGATCTCGGCATGATTATATAGAGTGCGCAAAACAGAACCGGCCACCATTCAGTTCTTTATAAATCATAGGGAGGAGTGTGTTGTTAAAATGAAACAATTACTTTTTAAAACAAGTGATTTGTAACGATTAACCTGTCCAGTTGTTAAAGGACTAGCCCTTCTTTCTGTCTATCATCAATATCTAGGATATTAAAACGTAATTGGATGGTACTCAGAGACTATAACCAGCATATCACCAACTGGTGCAGCAGGTAAATGGTTAAATCAACGCCTGTCTAATAAGCGATATGTTTTTGTTTACAAGGAAGATTTTCCAAGTAAAGCTGAAAAAGCACACTTAACAGAAAGCTTTGTGCATTTGATTGTTAACATAACTCTTTTGAAAAAGTATTTAATTTTCACTTGATCAAGATGCCAACTTCTGATCAAGGTAAAGTGTTCGGATTATTTGCCCTTAACAAATGAGCTCATTTTTGCTAACATTTTAATTCACAAATTTATGATTATAAAGTAAACAAGAAATAATCACAATGAAACACTTGAGATTAATACTTACGCTATTTTAAATACTATTCCTATTTCCAACTGCGTATCAGTTTTGGTGGGTAAAACACTACTATGTTTAACACTATCAACATAGCCAGTCAGACAGTGTAAAGATATAAAATTACATTAAAGCACTCTAGATAGCCGCGAAACGATCCGTTAAGTTTTAATAAATTATTCAATATTTGTACGGAACATTTATCAAATAATAATTTGTTAATGAAGCCGTGACATTCAACGAGCCCGCAACATTTTCAATTGTGTTGTTTTGGGCGTTCATTGAGGATTCCGTTTAAAAAAAATACACACGAGGCGGATCAAACAGAATGTTATATACAAACAAATGAAATATGTTTTTGTCAGTATCTTATATGTATATGCTTAAATCATGTGCATTGACGGGAAAAGAATATCGTTGTCTCTGCTTAATTACATGAATTATACAGAACTTTCCCATATTGACTTTTTTAATAACCTTTTTCGTCACTGTGGCTGACACAAGTCAATACCAAATATTAAAGTGATGCCGTCTGATTTAAGACTTCGCACTGTACACTCTTCAGGAAATGAAAAGAGAATGTGAAAATTATTAAGTGTTCATCAGTATGGCACTTAAAATGGTAATTTGTCAGTGACGAATGAACATACAATTCAAAAATAACTTACGAAAATACGTTATGCTTGTATCTTTCGGAGAATGATATAGTCACACGTTTAAAATATATAGTTGGCTGAATACTTTGCTGCTGCTTTTAAATGCATTTCTCTTAGATGAAACTTGCAGACTCGGTTTGATTGAGCCTGTTAACAAGAGATAACCGTCTGTCAATTCTCATGCCTCTAGCACAAAATCGCCACTACCTTGGGGAGGGTTTCAGCCACCTAACTCTGGGAAATGACAAATCATTTTTTGTCTAAGTTGCATTTTGTAACAATTCCCTGAACACATTTGAATCTAAAATGCTAAAATGCTCCTGCAAGGGGATTTGCTCGTAGATCACAATCAAATATGGCCTTAACATAAATTTAAACTAACCTACGCCCTACTTGTGTGTAATATTTTAAATATTATTGCATTATTAGCTCTGGGCATGTCAGCGCAGTAGTTTTATATTGGACCTATTTGCAAATGCGCATTCTTACTCGGATGATATTAGGTTTTAGACATGTTATCTTAGGAAACGAAAACAGAGTAACCCGCGTGATTTTGAGAGAGCCTAAAAAGACAAAAATTGATGTCTTACGCAAGTTTAGTAAGTCATTAAAATGTAAACCTTTCAAAAGGAAAATGAAAAATATATTCAGAATAGTTCGATTTAATTGAAGTGTTGCAAGACTGTTCACTATTGAGTCATTTTGCACGATAAAAATATTATTCTGGATTCTGGAATGGACTGAAAGTGATCTAAAGATACACAAATCTCAGAAAAAAGACTCTTTATGTCAATAAAAATACACTGTGGAATCCCTATAAAAATCGTACTTTCAGCAATTTTAAATATACTTTTATAGTGCAATTTTTAAAGTTGCAAAGTCAATTTTTGAATAACCAGTTTCTTCATCAATTTTAATATTCTTAGTGCTTATTCGCCACACGATAAAGCCTGCTATGTGGTTGATACTTTGCTTTTGACGTAGAGTAAATAGCTTCTATTTATGTGTTACGGAATGATAGTAAATAAATTTTCAATGGGATCATTCACACTTGATGACACACATTAGTTTAATCAGATATATAGACACATTTATATTTTTTATATATAAATTCAACAAAACAACAACAACAAATAAAATATTTCGCCTTTAATGTTTTCTCTTTATCTAAATGATTTACACCATTTTTTGACAATAATATTAATATAAATACAATACTTATAATACCTGATAGTGAAAATACATATGATATACTGACTTTTTAATAATATTTATCTTACTTTTTTAAGATGATACTGTTATTTCAACTAACAGTGAAGGTGAATTACGAAACTCTCTCGATTTATATGAAAAATATTGTGATACTTGGAAGCTAACCGTAAACATAGAAAATTCAAAAAGGTCATTGCCACTTCTGTTCAAAGTGCGTTTCTTTTACTGAAAACAACGCATTTTATTACCTGTTCCCCAATTGTACTCATCACCCAAAACAACTTTTTTGACTTTCAGTCCTAAGAAGAGATATCTGCAAAGTAACCACTAACAAAACTGTTCGAAGTTTTTATACAAGGGTTCCGCGCGGCCTTGTTTTGCAGATAAATGTAACGTTAACTGAATTCCTACTCAATTTCACTACTCATACCGAGCGTTCAGGACGCCATTTTATGAGTCCATTGTACGATTTTGGTCACGTGAACATCCGCAGTGTTACAGATTGATATGTTCAATAAAACAATCAAACCTATTCTTTTATACAGATCTGAAATATGGGGTTTTGGAAATTATGATATGCGTGTAATTGAACGTGTTCAACTTAAATTCTTAAGTATATTTTAAGAGTAAAATGTCAAACCCAAACTATATGATATATGGAGAAACTGATTGTACACCGCTATTGTTAGATATTGAAGAGAAAACTATCGCATTTTGGTCAAAAATATGTAATGTTAATCCAGATACATTGTCAAATAAATCATCTTCAATCGTTTACAAAAATGTAGTTAACATAGCTAAAACATTGGACACTGAATCATTGAAAAGAAAATATCATTGGTTTTATAATATTAAAGAATTTTTTATCAAATGTGGAATGATACATATATGGTCGAACCATCATTTCCAAAACAGTAAATGGCAAAAACATTCAGTACGGACAAATTAAAAGATTTGTTTATTAACGAATGGTATGCAAATGTAGAAAATTCTACTAAGGCTAGCTTCTATGCAAATTTAAGAGAGAATCATTTTATACTTGCCAAGGTCAATAATTCTTTATTCATTGATACGATTTCGTACTCGTAACCACCATCTTCCAATAGAAATCGGAACTGTGCAAGAATTCAATTAAATGATAGGGTATGTACGTCAAGTAATAAATTAAGAGACAAATTTCATTTCTTATCTTCGAGTGCGGATTTTTTCCGGCGAACACTTTTATCTTTTGTATAATTATAGACGTTGAAATATGACTTTTTTCAAAACGATTTATATAAAGTTTATATATATATATATGAATTAAAAATTTGACCCTTAAGAAGAAACGTTAACAATTTATAAAATATTATCTTGCATGGATCTATACAAAGTAAATTTAATATATAAAACAACACAATCTGCAAAGCCTGTGCAACAAAACTGTTTCGTATCAGGTGCGATTTATATACATCGAAACACGACCACTGTTACGTAAAGAGCCAGCGTATTTTAAACGTGTATTATCAAAACACGTATACCCATCAAAATGTTTGCGAATTCATTTTCAAAGTCATTCCAATAATCTTATTAAACTTATAATGTCAAACATTGTAAATAGCTTAAAAAATCATAGTCCTATACGTACGAGTATATGTATATCGTATATGTTTATTTAAACCGCAAATATTCCATGTTTCGATGTTTATTTATATTTACACAAGGTCTTGTTACCTCTTCTTCGCATTAAGCCTCACTTTCGAATCCTCTATTTCACGCCTTACATCCCGATCACGTGGTCCTATTACACGATCATCTCTCACTTGTGAAGATCCGATTCTCATTATCGAATTGATTAGATCTTCATATTTGTAATCACTATAGACCTTTTTACATAACAATTTTTCCAAAGCAACGCATGTTGCATTTCCCGCATGCACATTTGCGTAGGTCAAAAGCGCAATCACGATAGAATACATTTTAGCGCACTTAAGTCTTTAAAAGGCGTGATTTCAGTTATATCACACAGAAAAAAGAAATTTTGGGTTGAATTAAAGCGGTAAATATTTAAAACGTGAATTTGATATTTATAACAGATATACAAAATTAGCGGGACTTAAAATTCAACAACCAAAAGTTCTCTGTTCAAGGTATCGTGAGGTGACTTTTTCATCAGTAATTTAAATTAAAACAGCAGGGTGTTAAAGATCACATTTTATTACCCATGTATTACATAATATTACACAATTGGTATTCCTTTGAAAGTGGATTGGCAGGCGGGAGGTGTCAAACAGATTGACACGTGACCGGTTTTAAATGTTATAAAATTTATATAGATATGTTATATATTTTATGTTATAAAAATAGTTTATGGACAATTTTAACAACAATTAAATTGACTTTTTTATTTGCTAATATATATTTTTCTACATTTTTTACAACAATAATCTCAATGTCAGACACGTGATCGTAAGGGGTAATTCTTAAACACTCGTCTTTTCCATGCTTTTTTAGGCACTCTTGGCCACAAAGCTATAAAGGCATCTTTTGTGTTTCTGTTAAAAACTATTTAATATGATTTTCTAATTTTTCCCTTAAACTAACTAGGAATTGTCTATGGATTTCTACTACATTTCTATTTACGGGGAGGCTCTTTTTTGCCCTACGCACATTGCGCATGCGCGAAAAAAATACTACTTCCGGTCAACAATTAGTTTATCATAACGTAGGACACGTATTGTCCACTAAAATGGAAAGCCAGGAATCAAAGAAATGGCGCTTAGAAGAAAATAATCGTTCGCGAGACACAGAAAGGTTTGCATGCATTACACAAATATAATTCTAAATTTCTTTTTTTAACTTCGAACACGATGTTAAATGGCCGAATAGCGAACTCACGTTGAACAATAAATGTTCAAGTAGAACAAGTATGCCCGTATGATAAATTTTTATTCAGTTGACATAATTAATATATATATATATATTAACATTAGGAAATGGAGAAAAATCAGCGATAAATGCTCCATTACGGCATTTATTGATTCCTCATACATCAAACTACTGACAAAAATATACGAGTATATATAATATACAGTGTATTATCTGGATGCTTTTATTCACACAATTTTAAGCAATATCTAAATAAAAAAAAACTGTAAACAAAATTGCTCTTATAATTTTAGTATTTTTTGCTATTTATCAGTACACTCAATGTTTCCGTTCAACTCGATGGCCATAGTGTCTGCCAACATTTTCTGATTTTCCCCACTCGTTATTTCAACCTGAATATCATCATTAACCTCTATATCCTTCAATATGTTTTTACACATGTGATGTGTTACAGCTGCACACATTGTGTGACTTACAACACTACTGGTGGTCCTGACACGATCTCTGCAAACAAACACATAAAACCGATGAAAACAATAATCAATCGGTCACCAAGAATACAGTCCAACAAGTAAATGATTCTAAACAATTGCTTTTAACTTAATAAACGATATTTTAAAATATAAAGAAAAATTAATCTTACAAATGATAATTTGTTATATTCTTCAGTCATTTTTTTCATGTATTTCATATGAATATGAACTTTGTTTAAGCTTCTCGGTAATGTCTTTGATATACTTAATATAAACTTTCGTTATAGGTCACTCCTTAAAATCTTTGAAATGATTATGAACGTTTGTTTCAAGCCTCTGGCTTATTCTCGTTTGAGCTTTTGGTTTAATCCTCTCATACATGTATTTGATATAAAATAGAGAGAAATAAGAATCCCTAAAGAAAGCCCAACACGGCAAAATTGAAAATGTTGCAGGATCGGTTTGATTGAGCCTGTTAACGGACGGTACTGGTAAAATGAAAGGAATTATATGGTGATATCGATATTTGTATTTATAACTTACAGGAAAAACTCAACGGCAAGAAGAAGGGCAATTGGTTCAATAGGAATACTAAGAGATGACAGAATCATCACGATAGTAACAATTGATGCACTTGGTACTGACGGAATCGCCAAAGCAGACATTGTTGTCAGGAAGCTGAAATATGAGAAAAGAACAAATCTTTTTATGTATAAATATTGTTTCGATGGATTTGCGGATGAACGCAAAAAGGTTAAACGTGTAATAAACATTTCAATTTACAGTATAAAATGAAATCATTATATTTTCACTAAATTATTCTTTCTAGTATAATTAAGTTATATACGTTAAAATCTGTTTAGTAAATATATTTAGTCATTGACGGATACAAGTAAAAAACAGCAGAAATACCTTAATCATTTAATTCTGGATCTGATGAAAACTTTTCAATTATAAGTATGAATACTGTTTTAACCTTCTCATTGTTCTCTGTTTTTTTTTTAAATAAAATAAACAAATAATTTGTGAAAAGAATACCACTATATTATACCAGTTAGCAGTTTGTTTTGAGATCGTACAGTAGTGCCTAGTGAACATAGGGGTAAGGACATATTTCAGCATGTCAAATGAAAGTCACTGTGCAGATGTTTCAATATTATATATCTAAATGTATAAAGGAAAGACATTTGTAAAGGAAAGCACATGGCGCCCCGATGCAAGACCAATTCTGACCCAATGGCTGTTTTTTAAAATCTTGGGATATTCGAAGACATATGTTTTATGCAAAAATTCTAATATATAGCCTTTATTTTTGTTTTATTTTGTTTAGCAGAAGATGATCTTTGGGGACAGTTACCCCGTAGTTAGGTCATTTTTGGCCTCATGGCTATAATTAGAATAATCCTAGTAGATGTTGGATAAACGACAATGTTTGATACCAAATTATTAGTAAACTCTTGCCCTTTTTGATTTGAAAGAGAACATTTTTAATATTCTACTATATGTAGGTATCCCCAAACACAGGACCACCGGCAAACAGCTCATCAAGACATCAAACAGATCTATAACCCAAGAATGGGACCAATTTTGACTTTAAGGCTATAATTTAAACGGTCTTGGTAGAGGTCAACTATACAATCTTTCATGTCAAACATTTAAGCTCTAGCTAAGAAAATTCGATTTATATTGTATGTTTAAAAGGAAACCCCGTTATCTTCCTAGTACTTTTTTGTTTGCCCCGTTAACCAAATTTCTGCATGAAAACATAATAATTTTACAGCTAAGCCTCTAACACAAGGTACAATCCTGGCCAGTTTGGTTGAAATCGGACTTGTTGTTTTATAGAAGTAGATTATTTTAATTTCAAGATGCTGCGGTGGTAGAAAAAATTCAAAATTTTACCAAACAGTTAAGACGGTGACAGTTGTGGTTGGTATTCCGGAAATATTTGACAAAAACAAACACGAGCATGCAATAAATACAGCACTTCCATTTGCACTCAATGTGACGCTGAAAGGAATGGTAAATCTTGTAATTCTCTTATCAAGTTCTAACTTTACTTCACAGCTTGTCAACATTTCTGGTATGGCAACTGCTCTGCAAAAAAAAAAATATATATATAAATAAATATCTTACCTTTGTGTTTCTGATAAGTGCCATGTTGGATCATTTCAATTTACAGTACTACATTCTGCACATACAAAAGGAAATAATAAAAAATACTTATAATATTTTATCTATTAACCACCTCGGGAGTATCGTTGATTATCAATTACTCATAAATTGATCCCACAAGTAAAATAATATTGCGCAATGCAAACAGTTAACATGATTTCATTGTTCACATCGAAATGTTATACTCGAAGTGCAAGACAGATATTATAACTGTTAAGCTTTGATCAAGAATGTTATGTAAGGAAACAATACATAATTATCAATCACTAACAGTTTACCATGATTCAATCAAACTGGAAATGAGTTACTCCTCCAAATTCTATAACAACAACTTAAAAAAAAAATCCCTTATCGATAGTAAAATAAAAAGTTGATATACTTTAGTTAAATGATAATCTTTTTGGTTTAATACGCTTGATCCGTTTAATCAATGCATAAGAACAAGTTGTACTCACGTGCTTGAAGCAGCAAAACTTATCAACCACGATCTTGATATTGCCGACATATGTCTGAAAGGATTCCGTCGTGTTAACACAAATAAAATCAATGGCATAACAATGATCTGTTGAACAAAACAACCAACAACAACGGCAGAAATAAACAGTCCAAGGTCACGAAACACACTTCCAACATCATCCAGTTCAGCTACAGGCACAAGAATTAGACTGAGGACCCCCACAGGCGTTGTCCTATTAAAAAAAGAAATTAAAATTATATCTTCTTATCTGAGAAGAATTTCATTTGTGTTGATAAACATATACATCAAACTTCAAAGCATCAAATGTATCAAATCTAGTTAACATTTACCATAGTAACCACCGGATAATGATGATAACTACCCGGGTTAATGCATCTAAAACATCTATCAGTGGTCTTCCCTGTTTACCTAGAGCTGACGTTGCCATTCCGAGTAAAGTGCATGCGAAAATTAAACCTGAAATGAAACTTTGCCTTTAAAAAATCTTTAATATACAATGCAAACAATTTATTTACCTACATCGAAATTTAAAAAATGAAGACTTAAAATATTGCAGGTTTGGTTTGATTGAGCCTGTTCACTGACTAAATTCAACAAATATTAATGATACAAATTCTGAATATAGAACCTTACACGTGACAAATTCGTAACTTTCCATGTAAAGCGGCGTATGATCAAAATGTAAAATACTGCGAGTGCCCTGAACAAACAAAACAGTCGGCGAAACTAATTAAGATAAGTAAAAATGATCTAGGTGTTACGAAGCCTGCATATCACCGAAGTCGTTCTCTGGCAAATTTTAAAAGCGAGCAACATATTCTAAGGGTGATTAAACAGAGTAAACATCGGTCGTGCTGAACGATCTTCATGATGGAAACTATATCATGTCTGATTGAATGAAAGGGCCACATTTCTCGGTACAACTCTCCACGTAATTTAAAATACTAGAGAAAATCATAATCGAAATACAAAATGAATGACTTAAATGGCTAAATTAGAAAAATTGCAAGTTCGGTTTGATTGAGATATTCATGGACGGTACTTGTAAGTGCAAGCTTTTAGCAGCGGTTTAAACATTTATACTTGAATGGCAGAAGTTTGAAGTTATAATTATCTTCATATTAGTTACAATGCAATTCGAAGTTTGTAGCATTTTCTACCACATACAGAAAATAAGGCTATTTATCTTTTTTGTCAAAAGGAAACCACACAACTTTCAAATTCAATTTACCCTACAAATAAGATCGACAAAGTAGAACAACTATTAAAGAACGCAGAGTCCGAGTCCGACATAACCCGCATACACATGAGGGCTTTCTTTTCAAGATATGTCAATCTAATGAGCTTTGAAGAATGCCTATATAAACAGAGTTGTGAAATTGTGTTGGTATTCCTGTTCTTTTTTTGCAAGAATAACTTTTATTGAAGTTATTACTTAACTAATGAATTAACTAAATTTATGATGATATCAGAAATAATGATCATGAAAATTATTAGAATAATAAAGCAATATAAATGGATAAGACAAGAAGGAATTGATTGAAAACACATTTTGACTTTTATTTAAGTTAGGCCATAATTGTTTGAATACCTAGTAAATTTGGTCCACTTGTGCTTCCTAGCGTCTTTCCTACGATGGCAAAGGATGATTTCCCCGACGTTGTGTTTACTATGTCCTTATATTTGTATTCTGTCAGCGTTTGTTGAAAAGTTGCCACGAATAAGTTATCAGGGATAATGTTCCTTAAAAAGAAATTTTCTCTATAATTATTCAATTCAAAAATAATTACCAAATATTCAAACAATTACTTTTTTGCGATTTTCCATTTCTTAAATATTTATTCTAGGCAATAAACTGACATATGTTTCTCTTCTATTGTCCTTGATCGCTTAACCTGACATGAAATTTCTTCAAGCATGAACAGTTCGGCTTACCCACCCAAGACAAACAAACATTTAGACGTAAGTAATCAACTTCCTTTAATTTTTATGTTATAAGTAGAAGATGTTTGATTCCAAGGAAGAAATATAAGATTTTATAAAGGGACTTAACCGTCTCCAAATTTGTTTCTATATGTCAGACTTTGTTTCTCATCTCCTTTACTTAATTTCAACACCTTGGCGTTCCAAAAATTGTATTTAATTATTTAACAAATTCACCTAAGCATGTCAGCAAATATATCTTGCGTCTCCATAGGTTTCGTTTCCAATGCAGATTGATCATTGCTTTTTCCACTTTCTACACCTGAAATACAATAAGAGGGTAATAGAATGAATTATTTGTTTCAAATTTCTAAACTTAGATTAACACTTAGATTGTTCGAACATTAATTTGTACTTCAAACTAATAGCACAAACAATACAATTATGAGAACCAAATGTTTTCAGGCTAATATGATTAAATGGAAGATAAAACATTGATTTTTATATGACAACAATAAGGTATTACTAAACAGAAACAAAACTGTTACATTCTTTTCGTTTAGAGAATGAATGCATTGATGTTTGTACATTCTGTAAGCGCATTGACAACAAAAAATGCAAATGAAGGACAAATTCGATTTTTATTAATTCTTTTTGATTAACTAGAAAACATATTTTCGATATGATATATGTAATTGTTAAACAAAAGTTAAGACATAGGCATGACAAAACTGCTTTCTACGACTAGTTTGGTATAAAAAGGTAGGTAACTTTAATACTTACCGGGTCGTAAAACGTAGAACGATACAACACCAAGACCTGTGCCTAAGGCATTTGTAATAAATACAAAAACAAAGGAAACAATTCCGATTTTTCCGTTGGCTTTTGGGTGAAGTGACGCAGTTCCTAAAATAAAATAAACTAGTTAAAGCGTTTTTGGATAAATTATATATCACACCTTCCACGTTAGCTATATTAAATGACCTTGTCCATCTTTCAATCTGGACAAAACAATTCATCATTTGTAAGGAAATTTCAAAATATGTAAAGAGTGAAAAATAAAATGATTACAATATTTTCAACATTAGACAAAATATGAAAAATGTTGTTCCGTTTCAGTTGTCATTACAAAATTTATAAATGTGAAGTGAATTTTTTTAGGAATGAAGTGTCATGCAACACAATTAAAAAGGAGATTGATAACAACATGTTCATACCTGTTATTACACTGGAGACTATCAGAGGAACGATCATCATTTTCAAAAGTCGCAAGTACAGTTCACCAGGTAAACCTTAAAAACATACAGTGTCAAATAAACACAAAGTATATTTTGATTATGTGCATCAGTTTTATTTCACATTAAGGTTTCATTTTTACCAAATAGCACCGCAATTTGAAAAAACACTCATATAAGAAACACATACTTTATTTGCATTTTAAATTTAGATGTTTATATTTTTTTAAATTTTAAATCAGCACTTGATACGACAACAAATTGGTATAAGGTCTAGTTTTAGAATTGCATTTGCATTATTAGTAAAGCTTTTACAGAACGACATGGCAATACATTATGTTTTCATGAGTTATAACAATTTGTTTCTATTATTTTATCTTTCTTTTTGTAAAGGTATGATAGGATTGAGATAATATAATTTTTGAATAGCAAAAATCAGCCCTTAGGTAAAACAAACACTACAATATTGCTGGTCAGAATAAGTATAGTCAAACTTTGCTTAAAAAGACAGAGGGGTAGGTAGATTATCTGACATTTAGGCATTTAAATAGTTTTACCTGGATACAATTAAGCTATTAAGGAGTTTTACCGTGTTTATTATGATAATGATAATTTTTACTTTTTCGGTTATCTTGTTACATATATTTTATCACTTAAAATCGGCAAACATTTTAAATTAAAATCGCTTTCACAGAACTGAAAAAGAAAATGAGAAATGATTAACAAGTTACAAAAGAGACAACTGTTTCCTGTGTGGTTTGAAATTTACTTCGTTAACCCCTATCATGTAAGGCACTTATTTTTATGAAATACACTGCCAGCAGTGTTTTAACCATAATAATTGTATCAAGCATGAACAGAAATCTTTTTCAGAACGATATACAAGAAATCAAGAATGATAGACACTTGTGGATATTGTGGAGGCTACGTTCTGTCAATGTTATTCTTCAATGTTGGTCTATTCTCACTCTTTTTCTACTTACCAAGCCATAATAATACGGAACTCGTCGGAGAGCTTGATCTGACAGCAAACCCGATACCTATTCCACATATCACGCCTAACAATGTTAGAAGTAGCAGAAGGTTCTTCTTTATCGCTATCATCAAACAATCTTTTTGTGCCATAGTTGTTATCCTAAAAATGAAATAATAAATAAATTTTGCAATGACCGTGTTTGTTTTAACGAGTTTAGAACATTTCAACAAATAATGATTTTTAGTCATTATTAAACTTGAACAGAATTTTACAATTATTATTTTTATTAATGGCATTGTTATTTTACCTCTGTAGTTGTATCTCAAAGCATACATTGGAATCATTTAATTTCATACTTATCGGTTTTGGGTGATAATAACTTGAATGCAAAATAATATGTATACATGCTGAAATATAAAAGTAATAACGTAAACCGCTATATTCACATTTATGTTGAATTTAGAAGTTATAGTGTCGACACATTTATATATTGTAAACTTGGTTAAAAAATCATATGACGAAAAGCGTTCATTATGTTTCTTAATATATGTTTTGTGATATATGTTTTGCCGATTTTAGTTAAAAGAATCAGAAACACTTATCCAACAACAAGGTCGGGCATCCGTGGCCGAGTGGTTAAAGTCGTTGTTTTTAAACCTCAAAAATAAGTCTTTAGAACATTTCTTAATTCATAAACAAGAATGTGTGTAATGTCTGTATCTCACCTCCTGCCTGGAGTGAACAGTTAATATAATTTTAAACACATTGAAATTTTAATATAGAATATGATATATTTTAAATTACATATATAAGTTGTTTTATACCTATGTTTTGATACTCACTACTGAACAGTTCATCCATGGTCTAACCATAAGTGATAAATGATTTTGTAAAACATTTTTTTTCATATTGCGTGATAGTGCTTTTATTACAAAAATTAGTATTTTACAGTATAATTTTTTATGGCAGTTTTTAAGACAAGGTCAGTAGAGGTTATCAAAATTTTAGAATGTAAAAAGTCTATTATAAGTTTGTGATTAAATGTCTCAAATAACTTTTTAATAATGACAATGTGCAATTATGTCATCCTATGCAATATGATGTAAATGTTGAGAATGTGAATATACGTAAATAAGGGAGGTAAATCTACAATACATATTATACATTTCTATAATATGGACTGTGGAGTTATCCCTCTTAGTATTAGCTATAACACGTCTCCTGTAATTCTTTCGAGAATGGCTATATACATTTTCAATGTTTTAAATGATTTAAATGTATATATGTGTATAGATGAGACTATAATAAAGAATAAAATAAAAATATGACCTGTACTGCGTTGGTGCGACATTCAAGCCAACAGAGAATTAAAACCAATTTAAACAGTGTTGAAAGTTGTTTTTATCAACATTTAATTAGTTGATTGTTAACTTATCTAATTGTCATTGTTTTAAAAATACAAATTATTATTTTTTTTAAATACCCAATTAATTCAAGTAACACATTTTAAAGTAAGACTTAGTTTACGTGGTACATCTTTGTCTTCAACTTAATTATATAGTAACAATGATGTGTTATTTCTGTTCCCGTTTTATTAAATGACCTGACCAGTATGAAAAGTCCAATGTCTACATGATTACCTGATCGCCAGCAGAAACATTATATGTAATAATTTGTAAAAAAAGAAAGAAACGATAAAACACCTATTTTATGATAAAAATGAATATATAAGATGAATATATTTAAATTGAAATAATTTTTGTTGTGAAATTGTATCAAGGGATTATTATAATAAAAACATCCATTAAACAGATGACGGATACACACTCATTTCAAGTAATAACGTGACTTGTTTTTTTTTTTATAAATGAAAATAAATAAATAAATATATAAAAACTGAAAATAATAATGACAAAATGGATACTATTTTTATAAATTATTATGACATTTTCCCAACAGGCTCACAATTAACAATGTCACTCACCTTTTCACACGTGCACGGGCATAATGTCACTTTAAGATCTAATAAGATCATGCAATTTGATGACAAAATCCCTTAAACTGAATAATAAGTTCGAGCCATATATTTCATGTTTAATAATTATATACGAAAACCTTTAGGTTAATGATAGACATTATTATCTGTTAAAGAAATGTTATCTTAGTTCTCATACATAAAGTTGCATAATGCCCATCCAAGTGTAAATGTTAAGAGGATAGGAAAAGGTCACAAGTTAGTTTACATTGTGCCATATCTGTTTCCAATTTCGTATTGTACTTTTAATGAATATTCAATAATACCCGCGTGTCACACGGACATTTCTATAAATATCCTTCAGAATGTAGCGGTTATGCTCAGTTTATAAAAACAGTGGAGCATCTTCTTTTTATAGCATTTTTATAAAAACATCAGAATGACGGCTAGAGTCTTGATAATTAAACATCTACCGCAAAATACAATTTTAACTTTCCAAGATACAGGTGACATACGAGATACCGGTGTACATAAGCTTTAAGAAATTTGCACTGTAGACCCAACCCTTATGCGCCCCTGATACAAGCACTAGATATAGTTTGTTTAAATATAAGTATGACATGGTATAGTGTCTAACATGTAAACAAGGTAGAAAAGAATTTCATTAAGTTAAAAAAAAGTCATTCTTTTACCCGAGCGTTAATTTCCTGAAGATACTAAATTTCGAAATGTAAACATAACTGATGTACATTAATTTCATATATATATATATATATGTTATTAGAAGCCATTTTTATTGTAAATATTTTTTTTATAATTATAAATAAATATATGTTGCTATCCGATCGTACGTTTATTTTCCAAGCTCTGCACATTAAATTACATTTTCCACACGGACCACACCGTGTCAAATATTGATTAACGGATTAATGATGAATCTTCTGGTTCCCACATTATAGCGGAAACTCGAAGCAAAATATATAACATCGTATAAAACGACAATACTAGATAATAATAGTTATGTTTTCAATGATAATATTAATTGTGATAGAAAATAAAAATATTTAAACTAGCAGATGTTTTTTTAAATATATTTTTTTACAATTTACAGTACCGGAGTATGAATTTCGCCGTCAAACGACGCAGTGCATTTTTACCTTATACAAAATAGACTAAAGGTTATCGACAATAACTGAGGCCTGTCGCAATTTTAAGTTACACGGTTGGAACACATTTTTAAAACAAGTGTCGCACTAATGCCATTTTTGGAACCTTATGATTTCACTTTATGATTAAAAAAAAACAAAAAACATTTTGTTTCACTCATCATCTAAATTTTAAAATTATTATTATATACTTTGAACATTTAAATTACATGTGAAGTAACAATTGTGTTGGTGTTGGTAGGTTTCCTTTCAGATCACGACAATTTACCATTACTGCATCGTTCCTGGGAGTTTAGATGTCTTCACTTTTGCTAGCGTTGCAGTTCAGATTATTTGCCTTAATAATGATGATGATGATGATAATAATAATAATAATAATAATAATAAAAATGATAACAATAGTTAAGAAAATAGGAAAGATAATACAACGATAAAGTTAAAAATACTTACATTCAATTTAAAAACTTTTTTTCTATTCCCAACTATGTATCCGTTTCGGTGGGTAAAATAACATCAAGTTAAACACCATTAACGTATCAAACCACACAGTGTAAAGATATAACATTTATATCAAAGTACTCTCGCTAGCCGTGAAACGATCCATTAAGTTTTTAATAAAATATTCAATATGAAAAAATTGTATGAAGAATTTGTATAACATAATAATTTGGTTAGAGATGAATTCACGTGTCAAAACTTTAATAATAATCACAAGGCGGAACAAACAAAAGGTATTATACATAGACGTTTTCTACAATATCTTATCTGCCTTAAGCCATTTGTGTTTTCTGAAGAAAAAAAGAATTTTGTTGTCTTGATTAATTACACAGAACTTTTCCATATTTAGATGAAGTCCTGTCCTGTTTTTGTTCGGGGTCCGCCTGGGCTCCTTGCCGTTGGTTCTTGTTGCTGGGTCATATGGGGGTTGCGTTCATTGAACGCCGCCTTTCCTTGTTGATCTTGTTTATCATATTTTATAATTTAAAAGCAATGTCGTTTGATTAAAAGACATGAAAAAATCGGACTGCACAGTCTTTATGAAATGAAGAGAGAATTTAAAAACTATTGAAAATTTTTAGCAAGTACGGCGTCTTTAATGGTCTTGATAATTTGTCAGTGAGGAATGTATATACAATTTTAGAAAACTTAAACATACATACATGTACGAAAACACTTATGTTTATAACTTTCAGAGAAAGAGATATGTGCACGTTATGAAATATATTATTGGCTGAATATTTCTCAGCTACTTATACATGTAATTCTTTTTTTTTAAAAGTTGTAGACTCACGAGCACCTATACATTTAAACTAAGCCACGCATCTGTTGTGTGTAACATAACAAATATTATTATATTTGCTACAGGTGCTTCAATTACTTAAGATAATATAAATATAATCTTGAAATATATTTCGTAAATATATTTCGTAAATAATGTTTTTGGAGATGTTTTTCTAATCTATATAAGCCGCCATATTTGTTTATTGTTTACATTTACAATATCAAGGAGACTACAATGTAATCATTGAATTGTATATTCGATTGAAAAATACATTTGAATAATTGCAAAATATATACTGTTTTATATATATTTTCCAGTTAATGCCCGCCGTCAGTCCAGCTTATAACCCTCAATCGACGCACTTATGCACCTTATCTACAGAATCATATGACATATATATGAGAACCCATACTGTAACACATTAACCAATTACTTCATGAGCATTTTGTGAAAAATGGCTGTTTTCATTGAAGATTGGACTTGAATATAGTAAGTATGGTATTATTTATGAGTGTTTACATGTAATGTTAAGTCAAACAGTTCAAACGTTTTACACGTTCACAGCCAAGTTTCATGGTTGGCGGTTTATAATTCATAATTAACATAAACATTTGTATTATAAAAGTACATTAATCAATTTTGTTAATAAATACATGTATAAATGTACACTATAATTACAATAGAAATTGTAATTTATATGTACAAAAAAGAAACAAATATATTACATGATAATGCA